ACAAATAGTAATTTAATGCTCGGAGTTGTTTACAAGTTTATTTCCAATATATGTAGTAAAAGTTCACCTAAAATAAGTGATATCATAGGTACAAAAGCAAACAATTCATTATTTATATATTTATCATTATGGTTGTAGAAACCGAAAGTACAAAAAACCAACCTGTTGACATTTCGTCGGATTTGTTTAAAATTGAACATCAGTGGGCATATTTAAATTACAAATTGTTGTCAGACATATTTTGAAGCAAAAGAGTACCGGAACAGGCATTAGATGTCAAATATATACATTCGTTTTACATTATCTCTGTTTCTGTTTACATCTGAAACCACGTGGTAAAACTACTTTCAATCCGTATTGTTTCCGAGGTTAATATTATAGATAATAGCCGAGGCAGTTCCGAATGTCGCTTCCGTTTTCACTCGGAACACTCGGCGATTATTATTAATCCGAACAGTTGAGATTTGTTCCGTTATCGGAATACCACGCCTATTATCATTGAGTAGCATTGTAAATGGCGGCGCCCGACTAGAACTGACACTGAAAATTTCATTGATAGGTATAGAATTCTATATATTTTTGAATTGTTTTTTTATTTGATTTTCTTTTAAATATACACGTGTAGTCTATAGCCGGGCAATCCAAAGCCCGGACCCGCTTCGCGGGCCCGGTCTTTGACTTCCCCGTATAATAACACTTGATGGATTTATTTATAATACAGAGTATTCGTATTAAGCGTTAAATTTGCCTTTACTTTCTTTGAATTTAACATTTCAGAAACATATTAATAGATCTTGGTACATTTTTATATTGAAATACAGTGCGGTAAATGGAGATAAAGGCCTCTGAGCTAAGATACAACAAATAATAGAAAGTAATAATAAAAATTATATAATTAGAAAGTATCATGAATAAAGTAATATTTTAAATGAAAAAAAAAAGTTTTACTCTTTCCTAGTTACTGTAGCACAAAAGCGCTGAAAATTGTTTCGTTGAACGGCTTTCAGCGTTATTCATTCTTGCCGATGAATTGCTGTCGATGTTATCATTAAAAAGAGGCGAACAGCTGATGACGTTACTAAAATTATGATGACACTCAAACTTAAATACCTTATAACTTTAACAGAAAAGCTTTTTTGAAGGTATGGTTTGGAATATTTAATGACGAAATGTTGACGTTTACGAATCGTATGAAAAAAGGATTTATTATCATGAGAAAATATAAGTTTTGGTGACTTTAAACTAAAAATACCGCATCTCATCGGATAGTGTGGTTATTTTCAGTCAAAATTCGCGTGAAGTTAAGCTTGCACAGGGCCAGAAATTTGTTAGCATGCTCCTTTGGATGTTGACAATGAATCCATAACATTGATTTACTCGAACACAGTTTGGATATGTTAAAATAGATGAATACTTACCGTACGTCAATTGTATTCCCCGCGCCGACATGTATATACTGGTACAGCTGTCGACGCTGGAACAGCTGTCGGCCCATTTGATTGTACGGTGTGGTTATGGCCCTTGAATAAAAAAAGGCCTTAATAAAGCTTGTCATATACCCCTAATGCAATTTCAAAGATACTTTACAGGATTGATTGGTTGTTCAAGTACTTGCACATAATACACAAGTTTTCCGGTTGAATGATTTTTGCCCTTACATAAAAAATGTGTTTTTTGTGTTGCAAGCTACACAGAAGTTTGTCTGGACTACTGGACATCAGAAACTACTGGTGCAATTTCATTAAAACTTTTATGAACGATCAATATGTCTAGTTGTGCATCTTATCCATATTTTTGGATCATTGATTTTTGTCAGTTATGGCCCGTTAACGATTCATTTTTTTTAAATTTGGACTACTCCTCTTAAACCGCTAATGCAATTTCAATGAAACTTTACGGGATTGATCGGTAGGCATATTACACGCAAAATGCAAGCGATACTGCTCTACAAATGAAATGGCTGTTTCATTTCATATGTCAAATAATAAGACATACGCCTCGATAACGCTATTTTTTGAGTTTGGGTTTGAACAAAATACCTCAATTTGGTAATTCCAGGACAAAGTATTATCTATAGAAAAAAACGCCTAAATAATTTTCGAGTAAAGTAGTACTGAAGCCGGTTATCCTCGTTAAGTAATAGAAAGAACATCGAAACACGAGGCTATCTGATTTGTACGAGGAGGCGTAGCCCCCGAGTATAAATCAGATTGCCGAGTGTTTTGATGTTCTTTCAATTTTGTATATCATAGTCAAAAATAAAAACACGTTCCTTGTTGTCACAATATGAAACCCAAGAAAAATGTAACCAATGAGCGAGCATCTAAATATGATATTTCTGTCGCTATCCCTTTCTCTGTCGCCACAATAAGTAAGCCCCTAGACAAAATGAGCCAATCAATGGGCATGCTCTGGAGTGCGGGTAACGAATATCTGCACTCCAGTTAACGCACTGTGCATGTATATGTATACGTTTTAACTCTGACACATTTTCAACAGAAAGGTCCCCAAACTATGATACAATGACTTGTTGTATCATAGCTTGGGGACCTTTCTATCATTAACCACAAGATGACAAGTCCCGCAAATACCACCTCTAAGCCACCGCCATAATTAATTGAACCTTTTCTAGTTAACTTTTATTATGATTTTTATTGCTTTAACCATATCATTTTATTTCTTTTGGTATAAAAAATTTAAATCTTAACATTAGTTTCAAGATAAAATAGCTTTCTATGACTGGTTTTACTTGAATCTATATTATTGCGATTGATAAACAGTAAAATTCATGACGTTTGCTCCAACATATAGTGCTTGTTTTCCGCAATCAAACTGTCTTCCACTCCGAAAAGAATTTTGGTTGTACAAGTTATTTTCTCTGTCTCTGTCGATATGCCGCATCTTTTTATAGCAACCCGTAAAATTAAACCCAAAAGAATGAAAATACTGTTTCATTCTATTGGGTTAAATTTTACGGGTTTCTATCATTATGGGTTTACTTTAATTTAACGTACTGTACGATACCTACCGACTCAACTTAAACACTTTAATATGAACAGCAGACAAACAGTTTATACATGTGTAAGATTTGCTCAAGTACTATTTTATAGTATATATTTTATCTGGAACTATTTTTAAATATTTTATTCCGATCCGTCACAATTTTTGTAAATATGACAAGGCTACACAAATAATAGACACTCTTTGTGTGCTATATTGAACTTATTGACCTGCTTGTAAAAATCATTAATCATATATTGTAAATTTGTATTTTAACTTAGAAACATGTCAACAGTAATAAATAAATAGTTATTTTAAAGGCTTTATTGAGCGGCTTTAACGGTTAGACAAATAATAATAGCATGGCATATTTAATTGATGAGATGTGACGTTCATCATGTAAGAGCACGTGCAAATCATTTCATGAATTAATTTTACCAGTCAATAGGGACTTCAATCTCGTTTTTTAAAATAAGAGTGAAAAGTAACAAATTAAATACATTGTATCTGAAAATTAACGTTATTGATTCTTTGCAATATATATGACCAGAAGTTCTAGAAATCTATTTTTGATATAAAACTATTTATGATACAATATCAATAGCCGTTGGTCCACTTCACAACATTTAACTTATTGTAATAATTTTTATGTTTTCATAAAACCAACACAAATCTGGAGTCATACTGACATAACCGCTATATTTGAATTTAGAACTATCCTTGACTGGTAGTATAAGTAGTATAAAGTATATCAGTATGTGAAAATGAAATGCACGGTATAGCAGCCCTCCGTGTTCTAGTCTGTTCAGATTGCACGGTATAGCAGCCCTCCGTGTTCTAGTCTGTTCAGATTGCACGGTATAGCAGCCCTCCGTGTTCTAGTCTGTTCAGATTGCACGGTATAGCAGCCCTCCGTGTTCTAGTCTGTTCAGATTGCATGAAAATGGCGCGTTATTATATATGTAAGCAATATAAAATTTTCTCGTAACTACCATGCATTGAAAAGTACACCAGCTTTGGAATAACTGAGCAACATGCTACTGCAAGCAACAGAAGTGTACATCATGGCATATTTAATGCGTAATATAAATATACTTGATGCATACTTTATAAAATGTAACCAATGAATTTCCAGCACCAGATGATGTTCCAACATAAATAATAATTGGATCTAGTATACTCAGTTTAGCTTCCTTTTTTTAAATTTTCTGAGTCCAAATTATCCATATTAAATGCAAATTGTACTACATCTAGCCTCGTTTTCATTTTCCAAGCCATCAGATCGACGTTAAACTCTATCTAGCTTCGTTTCTATTTTCCGAGTCCAAACGTTTCATATCAAATCCATATTGGACTCGAAGAAATTGTATCTTTAATATAGTATAAAACACAGTCGTTTAAATGTGATTTAATCTTACGCCAAGGATGCGTGATGTTAAATAAAGAGTTGGTCGGTATTTTAAATGCGGACATTAACTAGACAATAAACTGACGCGTTACTATAAATACCAATTGGTGATTCCCATGACCTAACATTTTAGATATCGTAAAAATACGGAAAGGAGAGTTACTCTAAACAATGTTTGTGTTGTTACCGTACTAAGTATTTATTTTAAAATATGGAAATGAAAGTTACTTTAGACAATTTTTCTGCGTCCATGTGTACGCAGAATTTATTTTTTGTGCGTACAAGATTGCATTGTATGCGTATATGACGCAGGATCCTGCGTCCGGTAAATCCCTGTCAGACATTATCATATATTGTTGTGTACCGTACTGATATCGCAATAATGTCTAATAATGTACTTAGTAAAATCTTATAAAACTTTTATTGCACAAAAAAGAACTTTTTGGTGGTATAAATGTACGTAAATATGATTTTCTTCATCTAAATTACAGAGGTGGGTGAGGGAAATAACTGGAAATAAATCGAAATATGTTATTAATTTGTGACACCATTTATCTCCCATTCAGGTAAAATAATTTGATTTATGTTTCAGGGCCTATGATGAGTGGTACGATAGTAAAAGCAATTGGATTTAGTTGGTAGGTGGCTATGGCCCTCTTTATTGTAGTTACAAAATTAAAACTCTTTCTATAATAGTTCTAATTTGTTTTCATGTCATTGAGCTAAAATACAGGATTGATTGTTTTTCTACCCGACATTAGTATCGATCAGAACCTCACAAGAACCTAGGAGTTAATACGGATTGAAAGTAGTTCTACCGCTTGGTTTTAACAAACTCTATCTCTTCTATCATTTTTAAAAATTCAAGCAATGGTGTTTGCAGCAGATATATAGCTTGATACACTGACACAGTTTAATATAATTTTTGCCTCCCCCTTTTTATTTATTTATATATTATCATTATTATTATTATTATTAACATTTTAACGTCAGGTTCTGTTTATTTACCATTATTTACCACAGGAAAGGTAGGTTGGTGGACCTACGCCGAGATATGACCAAAAGTATGTTGAAATCAGCGTTAATACAGAAAAAAACATACGCTTAGCTAGTGCGTAAATGAAAATTGATTCAGTCTATGAAGATATGAGGACAATCTTTTTTATTTTACTTGAATATATGTTATACATTATGTTTACAGGATGTTGTGGATCATAGCAATTGCAAGTTTTATCTACACCCCACTTATAGTGCTATTGAGGAATCCGCCTGGAAAGGAAGAAAAAATGGTGATTATATTCATTCTTGTTGACATTGTTTAAGGTCCACAATAACGTAGACTTTTGCTTTTGTTGTCTAGCCTCATTTACATTTTCAAGATAATATATATGTATATATCCATTCCTTATTGCATTTGAAATAAACGTGCTCTGTGAAAATGTCAAAAAATGTGAAAATTAACATCGTTGAGAACAAGATTTGTTATAAACGACTCGTGCACAGCTGCAAAACCTATATCGCCCCGTTCATCATACATATGACAGCTTATGAATTCAGTATTGAACTCATATACAGATACATTAAGATATATGTTTCATAACCTCATAATATTAAACATATCTTAGATTGTGTTTGAAAAATATATATGTATCTTTATTTACATCATTCACCAGGTTTTTATTTGGCGGGGTCAACTTTTAGTTTACTTTGACCTATTGACGCCGAACTTAGTATTTGTGTAGCTTATATAAAGAGGCAGCTCGGGATTGCTTCCCAGGTATCTGCGATCAAGGTCAATGTTGCTAAAACAGAAATTCTGGTTCCGCTCAATAACTTTAGTTTGCTTTTGCCTATTGACACCGAACTTGGTGTACGGGTAGATTATATCAAAAGGCAGCTTTGGATGGCTACCTAGGTGTCTGTAAACACGGTCAAGGTCATTGTTGCTAAAAGAAAAAGAAAAAAAGAAATTCAATTTCCGCTTAATAAGTTGATTTTGCTTTGGCCTATTGGCACCAAAATTAGTGTATGGGTAGCTTTTATCAAGAGGCAGCTTAGGATTACTATCCAGACGTCTGTGATCAAGGTCAATGTCAATGAAATAGAAATTCAGTTTCCAAGTAATTACTTCAGTTTGCTGAGACCTATTGACACCAAACTAGGTGTGATGGTAGCTTTATCAAGACGCTACCCGGATTGCTACAAAGGTGTCTGTGATCAAGGTCAACGTCAATGTTGCTTTAAAAAGAAATTCTATACCGCTCAATAACTTGAGTTTGCTTTGGCCTTTTGACGCTAAATTTAGTGTATCTGTAGCTTATACCAAGAGGCAGCTTGGGATTGCTACCCAGATATGTTTGATCAAGTTCAAGGTCACTGTTGCTAAAATAAGAAATTAAGATTCCGCTCAATAACTTCAGTTTGCGTTGACCTATTGACACCAAACATAGTATGTTGGTGGCTTATATCAAGACGCTACTTGGGGTTACTACCCGGATGACTATGATTAAGGTCAATGTCACTGTTGCTAAAATAGAAATTCAGTTTCGACTCAATAAATTGAGTAAGCTGTGACCAATAGACAGCAAATTTTGTGTGTAGGTAGCATATATCAAGTGCTTCCCAGACGTCTGTGATCAAGTTCACTGTTGCTAAAAATAGAAATTCAGTCTCCGCATTATAACTTGAGTTTGCTGAGACTTATTGTACCAAATTTAGTTATGTTGGTAGCCTATATCAAGACGAAACTTAGGATTGCTATCCCAGTGTCTGTGAACAAGGTCAAAGTCACTTGCTTACAATAGAATGTTCAGCTTCTACTCAATAACTTAAGTTCACTACTTAACTTGGCATGTGTTTAGCCTGGCATTACTACTCAGGTATCTGGTATATATTTTATTTTGCACTATTTAAACCAACTTTATTTTTATTCCTAATTCCTGTAAAATCAATACTTGGTCGTTCGCACCCTGCGGCGCTTCTTGTATTAACATTTTTTTTAAATGTGTATTGTTGATTTCAGTCGCTGATCATGAATGAACAGTGTCCGGTGCAGTACGTGACATATAACCAAACACAGACCAGTAATCTGGTTTCAGAGGACGAGGACGGCTACTACAAATAACATTAGATATTTTCCGTGCCAGAACGTAAACGAACATAAGATTGGCATGCCAATTTTCCACGTGCAATTGTTATATAATGAATATATAAATATAATGACATGTGCCACGTTTTTTCGTATATAGTTGTAATGATTTCAAAGTGCAGCGATTTCACGTTTAACACACTTTATTAATATTTGATAGAAATTGATACCACGAAAGAAATGGCGTGAGAGGCCAATTGGTGACATGAAAGATATTTTGGGGTAATATTGCAAAATCGTCATTTTTTTCCGGTTTGGTCAGTATTACCTGTATCCAGGGATAAAAGTAAATACAAACAAGTATTAATTAGGGTACCATGTTTAAAGCAAAATGTTATTGTGTAGGTATGAATGTGAATGTGTAGACACAACAAGGTTTTTGTTAGCTGAAAAAATGTTATTAGATATATGCAAAATGTTTTGCTAGAAAAAATGTTTGGGTGCAAAATGTTATTGTGAAAGTCTAAATACAAAATGCTATTTGTTCATCATACGAATGTCACTGTGTAGATCTGTTTGAGTGTATACGTGCAATCATTATTGCATAGGTATCAATGTGTGGGTGTGAATAAATGATAAAATTATAGGGATATAAAGGGTGTGTATATGTGGGTTAATATACATAAATGTGAGTTATACATTGTGAGGCACGTTTCAGGTCACTATTGCCTAGGTCATGGTCACGTGCAGATTAAAGGATTTTTGATGTATCTGTGTTCTGGGTGAACATGGTATATGTCATACTGAGAAGTGATAAAATATCACTTCTTCTATGTGTGATATATAGCATATGAATTCACGGAAAACAAATTTTCTTTTTTACTGAATGCCTAATATGTGGAAAAAAACCCGGCAATTTTCTACTTTTCATCAAAGTTCGGAAATCAGACGTGTGTCGTTAAATGTACAACGGCACACAATCCCTGAGCATCAAGCTAAAAGTCATTATTGCGGAATAACTTTAAAAAAAATAGAGATATAATAATATTTTAATCAAAAATATGCAATACATGATAACAGGCAGCAATTATATTTTAAGTTAATTTCAAAATTGACTGAATGACGATATCAACTGCAACAAACGCCAAAAGCAATTCGACTAAGCTACTACAGCCACACTACGAGTGATATTGGTTTTTATTTGACGGATTAAACCCTGTATATGATTGAATATCACCCTCCTAGGATATATTCCCCGTATCAACATGGGACACATAACTCTTTCTCATACTCTTTTGGTATAATAAAATAAACACATGCGCAGAGGGGTAACATGCCAGTTCAAGGGTTGACAAATCCTCTATCACCCCGACAGGCATGTGCTATCTATATAAGAAAACATAATAGGCAGATATATTGAGGTATAATATTAGTGATAAAGATTTTTGACAGGTTATATGGCCCTATATACGGTTGTTTGGAAATGTAACCCGAGCAGCAAGCATCATTTTTAGAGGAATAAAGCGATATTTCTTTATAAATCGACAGGATAGGACAAATAGATCAAAACCAATTATCAATACATGTTTCGCTTTATTTGCTTTGTCAGTTGATACATAAAGGAAATCGACAGCAGCTATCTTTATAAAACTTTATAATACTGCATGTTTGTAACGTCACTTTTCATTGGATAATAGTGACGTTTATATTATTCGTTATAAAGATTGTTGATTGTTGTCAGAAATATTTATAACGAATTTACAATACAGCAAGCATCATTTTTAGTGGAATAAAGCGAGATTTTTTTATAAATCGACAGCAGCCGTGTATATAAACGTCACGATTATCCAATGAAAAGCGATGTTACAAACATGCAGTATTATAAAGAACTTTATAATACCGCACGTTTGTAACGTCGCTTTTCATTGGATAATAGTGACGTTTATATTATTAGCTATAAAGATTTTTGACAGGTTATATGGCCGTATATTAACGGTTGTTTGTAAATATAACCCGAGCCGCTAACCAGAGAAATTGGCTGCTCCGTCGCCAAAGTCCATCACATTAACTTTACCCCCATTGAAATTATTTTCTACAATCACATTTTTTGTCACATCTTCTCCAAATAATACGTTTTTAAGTTTGTCACAAGCGATCGGTAAAAACATTTTTATTCGGCTTTGATGACATATTAACAAAAGTTTATTTTTAAGTGTCATCTATTTATTATGTAATTAACTGTGTTCTTTTATGCTATTGTATAAAATTGGTTAATTCAATAAGCTCCTTAAATTTTGTTCTGCTGTCAAGTTAGAGGAGACACTTCTTAACATGTTTACTTTTCTATGTACATATAGACCTGGAAATAAGTTAAGCACACCCAGCATTTTGCCTAAATTTTGACATGACCACAACTGAAATTTTAAATTTATGGTACGAACCACCTGGCCCCGTGTTCACAAAGATTTAAGGATCAGGATCAAGATCAGGATCAAATTTAAAAACTCAAATATTCTCCATTATTTATCCTCATAGATTAAATATTCAATATTAACTTGATAAAACTGGACTTAAAATAGCATGTTTATGAAATTTTAGAATAAATTTATTGTTATTTTTACAAGAAATGGGCATTTTACAGTTGATCCAAATTTTGATCTTGATCCTAAAATTGATCCTCATTTTGATCCGATTATTTTTGTTTTTGTTTTGTTATTAGTTAATTTTATCCCAAAATAGGTTGGTTTCTTTGCAAATAAGCAATTATTTACAATAAGAATATGTACCATTGAATTCTAGCATAATACAATCAATTTTAGTTTTATAAAACAATGGAAATAAAATCAGGATCACCTGATCCTGATCTTTTCTTTATGAACACGGGACCTGTAGTCAACCTGCAACAACTGAACCAAGCTCTGGACCAAGAATGTCCAAATTGACCTCAAAATCGCATTAGACGCCTTACTGGTAGTATGAGGAGAAGGGTTGAGGCTATCATCCGGACACATGGTGGTTACACACGTTATTAAAAATTTGGCTACACAATGTCATTTTAGGTTACGTAATCGTCAACATTTACCAAAAATATCCACCAGTAAATGTTTTGTAAACGCTCTTACACCATACTTATAATCACTTTTTGTAAAGAAAACAACACATTTGCTTATGCTTCAATAATTTGGTAAAAAAATAAACTAAAATATACTGGTTTATGTTTCTTAATTGGTATCGTACGGAAGCTTATCAGGGCCTCCACTTATCTGAAAGTTTCACGTCATGTCAACTTGTTTCTTCTCGTTTTGACCTAAAACATTCCACGAAGACGTTATGATTAATACGTAATACATAAAACATTCCATAAAGACGTTATGATTAATACGTAATACATTGAAGTTTTTAATCATTTCAAAAAAACTTTGTTGAATTACGTGAGTTTTTTATCAATGCGAGTAACGTCTTTGCGTCTTACTAAATATTTCAGCAAAGTCGTGAAATCAAGAAGTTTCGATAGGATTTTTGTCGAAGAGACAAAAACTTCAAGCATATCGAGAAAAAATCAGTTGCAATGCCTAAAAGCTTCTCATCTTTATCAGTAAATTTTATTGAGAACTGCAAAAACATCTGATCATTGCGAATAAAAATAAGTTGACTTAGCGCAAAACATCTCACCAACTGTAGGCCCTGATACGCTTCCGTAGTATCGCTACTTATCAAATAACTATTTCTTGGCATCTCAATCACAACCAATTTTAAATTTCCGGGGTGTGCTTAACTTATTTCCAGGTGTGAATTATATTCAATAATTATGCTATATGTTGGATTTTTGTTATAAAGTAAAGTGATTGTGCACTGTTGTACAGTATTTTTAATTACTTAACTTGTATTGAAGAATTATGTTAAATCACTTTCATTTTTATTATCATTATAATAAAAAATGGCCTATGTAATGTATAAAAAAAGATTTGGAAACACTTTAAATTTCACCATTTTTAAGTAAAAAAAATTTAAGTTTAAAGTCACGACTTTATTATTTTCCTGAGAACTATAGATGCATTAAAGATTTATTATGCTCAATTTTGATATTTGAAAATTGTTACACTGTCTCTTAGTAAATATGAAATAAACATATTTGGACTTCACACAAAGTAGATATGTTATGTTTAAAACCTTTAACACTATCGGAGGCTATAATATGAATATATAGTGTCATTAAAAAAAGCTGGCAGTTTTTTTAAAGAAAGGGCCAACTTTATCTGACCTATAATAGACAGTTAAGTTTGTACATTCTTTTGTTCAAATAAGACATAGTTAGTAAGAATTTCATAGATTTCAATAAATTTATTAGATGAAATTATTTTACTCAAAGATGAGCATAGTATATCATTAAGCTAGCAAACGAAAAAAATATTTCTTGCAAAGCATAAAGCGTTTTATACATAATAAGTGAAGCTTCTTTATTAAGATGAAACATGGTCCTTGTCAACAACTATCTTCTTAAAATGGCTGTTTTAATATGATATTTCACACGTTTCAGTTTATGGACTTTATATATCCTTATATACGGAAACGTTATACACTGTTAAAGGGACTCCAACAAGTGGGATCAAAGTGTGTAAGTCATGATGATTTTAATTTGATTTAATTAGACATTTATATACAAATCAATTAATTTTATTCACAAAGATGTTTAAAAAAACACACAAAAAAACGTTCATATCGCCGAGCCTTATCTCGGTATGCTTGAATTTCACTCTCTTGGCGAAAAAGTATCTTTTCGTCTTTTGTAAGATATTTGTCCTTTTTTTTGAGACAAAAACTTCAAACATATTGAGAAAAGTGACTAAGAATGACAAAACATTGTCAACTTTTTGTGAATAAAATGGATTGATTTGTGATAGAACATCTACGGAAGCTTATCAGTGCCTACAGTTGATGAGATGTTGAACTTTATTCGCATTAATAAGACGTTTTTACAAATCTCAATAAAATTTACTGCAACTGAACGTTTCTCAATATGCTTGATGCTTTTGTAACTTCGACAAAAAATCTAGTCGACAAAAATTACGCTTCGTGATTTTCGACAAAAACATTACGACACGTGACTAGCTTTTCTCGATATGCTTGATATACGGTGGCACAGAGGTGACATGTGTGTGTTTTTATATATCTCCTGCGCACGAGATACTTTGTCGTGGCCACGAGATACTGTGTCATTGCCACGAGTTACTAAGTCGTGTCCACAAGACGATTAAGTCGTGCGCACGAGATACTATGTCGTGGCCACGAGTTATTAAGTCGTGGGAACGAGATAAATAAGTCGTGCGCACGAGATAATTAATTTATCAGATTACACTTTTTAAATGAAATTTCCTTGTTAACAAGACGTTTGTTATAGGACAAGGAACCCCCTACTTCACCTGCCTGTAAATGTGCCATTTATACAAGATATTGATTGGACAATGATTTTACATTTAGCGTCTTTGTGACCTTGCTTTTTGACCCAATGACCTCAAAATGATAAGGTGTCACCTACTGATCAGGTGCAATGATCTTTCTAGATTATACAAACCATGGCTTACTCCTTCTAAATTATTCATCAGACAAGGATTTTACATGCAGTGTCATGGTTACCTTGACCATTGCCCTCAAACATCATTATAGCCAATCTACTTCCCACAGGCAATGGCCATGCCAAATAAAATAAACAAGGACTTACTTGTTTTCAAGTTATCGTATAAACAAAATTTACAGGCCGTTGTTCGTACATACTGACTAATTCTATCAAAGAATTGTCCCTACAAAAGGCCTAACTAAGTCAAAAGTAATGTCTAATTTATGGACCTTGGAAGGTGACTTTCTAATATGATCCTAAAGACATGTATCAAGTTTAAAGTGAATATCTTCAATATTTTCAAAGATTAATGTTGCATGTAAGTTTTAAAAAAATCATATATATATATATATAGTGTGTGATCTGATTCGTAACTTATCTCGTGCGCAGAGCTTAATTATCTCGTAGCCACGACTTGGTAAATCGTGGCCACGACATAGTATCTCGTGCCAACGACATAATAATATCGTTGCCACGACTAAATAACTCGTGGCCACGACTAAATAACTCGTGGCCACGACATATAGTATCTCGTGCGCACCACTTAATTATCTCGTGGCCACGACTTATAATCTCATGCGCACGAAATAAATAAAAACGCACAAATGTCATCTTTGTGCCACCGTATTAGTATCACCTGACGTGGGGTAAAAATAAATATAAATAATGGCCTTGTACTAGACGTTAAAAATGTCAAAAGTCGGGTTAATCATGTTGAAATACAAAATACCTTTATCTTATCGTCAAGTATCTTCACGACCTATCTGAAATATTATGTAAGACGCAAAGGCGATACTCGCATTGACAAATAGCTCACGTAGTTCAACAATTTCTTTTTCGCAATGATTAAAAACTTCTAGTATTATGTATTACGTATTAGCCATCACGTTCATGGGATGCTTTTGGTCAAATCGAGAAGAAACAAGTTGACATGACGTGAAACTTTTAAATAAGTGGAGGCCCTGATAAGCTTTCGTAAACATCTAATCAAATCGAAAAAAAATGAGCCGTCTTACGCCTCATGATCACACTAAATGGAGGCCCTATAACGTTTCCGTACTTCTATTGTCATTATTTGTCGGGAAGGTTATGATCAGTAAGAAAACTCTCTAAAATTAAGTTTTTTTTTCATAGTTACACAAAAAGTATTCACCCAGTTCCTACATAAGCAAAAACATTAACAATCTCAGAAGCAATCCTTTCGAATGCGCAGACATTGGTAATTACTAATTACCTTCAGAAACGGGTATGATTAAGTTTGCTCGATTTTTCCCTTTCTGTACGTTTGTTAATGCATGTGATATTGAAAGAGCCAATTATATCTTCATGTATGTATGAATCTATAAAACAGTACTGTACTTTTTGTTGTAAATAAAGCTTTAACTGTCGCTTCGAAATATTGATTTTTTTCTTGGTAGTCTCCGGCGTTTTTGCCATTATAATCAATAACATGCATTCGAGTTTAAATAAAATGTCATGACAGTGTACGTGAAGGCTCGTTTACGAGGACGATATTGTTTAGTCTTAAATGATACTCACGTGCTAGAACACGTATGAATCTCAAAATAGAGCATCTGTAAAAAATATTTGTGAATTTCCTCTGCTCCAGATGGATATATGAAGGAGAAAATAGGTCAATCGAAGGGTAAGCACACCGTACAGACAGCAGTTCAAGCGTCGACAGCTGTACCAGTACATGTATATACATGTCGGCCAGAAAACACAATTGACGGACGGTAAGTATTCATCTATATTTAACATATCCCAACTGTGTTCGAGTAAATGAATGTTATGGATCCATTGTCAACATCCAAAGGAGCATGCTAACAAATTTCTGGCCTTGTGCAAGCTTTACTTCACGTGAATTTTGACTGGAAATAACCACACTATCCGATGAAATGCGGCATAGGCTAAAAATCATTCAAGCCAAAAACCCGTGTAATATGCGCAGCTTGACGTACAAATCAATCCTGTAGTGTTTCATAGCGGTATATGAGAAGTAGCCCGGACAAACTGTAAAGTTTCATTGAAATTGCATTAGTGGTATAAGAGAAATAGTCCAGACAAACTTTAAAAATAAAAAATATTAAAGGGCCATAACTCGGACAAAAATCATTGAACCGGAAAATGCTGACGATATGCACAACAAGACTTGGTATCACATTTTTCACACCAGTAGTCATGGTAATGACCATTTGTGTTTCAATCCCTCAATAAATGAGGACTATATGGTTCGAATACACATTTTCATCTGAACTTTGACCTCTAAGTGTGACCTTGACTTTTGACCTGGTTCATGTGCGTGACACAGCTTCTCAGTGGTGAAAATTTCTATGATGTTTCATTAAAATTCCTCCATGCATGTAGGAGATATGTTCAGAACAAACATTGGACGCCGCCAGCCCGGCAGGGGGGAAACTATAGTATGACCCGTTTTTTAAACGGGCAAATAAAGATTCAGCATGTAAATAAAGGTTATTCTTCAACCATATTATTATGGAGGCCAATAAACCATTAAATATCATTCTTTTATATGAAAACAAAAACAAATATATTGTAGTAGTCCTGAAAGCTGCTCACTTCCAGGCAAGAAAACAATCAAATTTTAGAAAAAAACTTAATAAAGTAACTGTAATGATGTTTTTTGACATGAAGAGATAGATAATATTATAAAATTTGTATAGGTTTGAGGAGGTTTGGATCAATTAAGTGTGCGCAAAATTTCTGATCATTCACTCACATGTATTTTTCAAGATTATTCAAAAATGATCCAAAAATACAATGCTTTTATCTCAAATCAGGCTAGGAAAGGCACAAGAAACAGATAAACAATTCAATTCCATGTTTATTTCTTTATTATCTACTGCATATTGTTCCATTAAAATTACACTAGTTGATTCCATAAAATAATGTCAAATTTTATGTTTTTATCTTCTTTAAGAACATAAGAAATGCATATAATATATATTTATATTCATGATCAAAGTGACAAATGGTATGCTTTATGTAGAATATGAATTGTTTTCAATAAAATTCAATATCATAACTATACTCTTGCGGTTATTCCTGCATAATTTGAAGCAGAATGTTAAAGATCCTGTATGTTCTGTGATTGATATTTTTACTGTATGAATACCACACTAGCAAAAATTATATATGTACATATTTATGCAAATAAAACAATTTTCAAACATTGAAGAATATGTAAAATGTGTACTGCAAATATTTGTGCACATTATATTTAATCAATAAATTACAGGCATTCATTTCTTATTGGAAAATTTGACTTAGAATTTATAGAAAATATATTTCTAATTACCTCCCTTTATTTACATAAAATGTTAAATTGGGTAATATCTTTATAAATAATGCTTATTGGAACTTACAATATTGACAAATCTTAATTTGAGCATCATATTTATGAAATAAAACCATGAAAAAATTGTGTTACAGGATCTTTAATTTCTGTGGCTTTATAGTATTTTTTATGTTTTTATTGTATAAATCGTTAATCCACTGCACAAACGTTTCTCCTAAATAAAAAAATCTGATTCTTTTCATAACTAGAAATGTGTCGTCACCCCACGGATGCCCCCGCATGCAGCCAAAATTTCAGATGTTACAATATTTAGTTCCAAATTTGTTTGCAAAAACTTTTTTTTTCATTTTAAATTCAAAGCCCTAAACACAAACCATTTTTATACAAAAGTTCAAGGCACAGAAACTATTCAGTGTTTACCTATAATTGTAAATTGCATATTGCACATTTGTAGCCAAAATAATAACTACATACATTTCCACAAAAGTATAAGTGCTGAAACTGAAAATTCAATTTTTTTTCCAACATTCAAGAGAGACAACTTTGTCCAAAATCATTAAACCACGATCAAATTCGAACTTGAACTGCTTATTCCTAAGATGTATCTATTTCAAGTTTTCATAAAGCAAACGGCAGATATTGCTCGTAGGATATTTAAATATGCCCAAATGTCATCAAGAGCAGTTTTGCATGTGGAAGGAATGTATTTTTCAGACAGAAAAAATGAAACAAAAAAATAAGAGACGATATTTTGTGATTGGTAATTTGAATGAATAGAAGTAAGTTTTCTTCTTTTAATTACTTTTGACATTTAAGTTATTTATAAATTTCAGCTTTGCTTTTCTCTGAACAGCCTGACATTGTCAGAATTGACAGCAAAAATAAAATTTAGGTACCACATGGGGAAAGTCTTAAGAAAGTAGTTTGAAAAGTGTGAAATTATATTTTGATAATTTTCACTGTGAAATCATCAAATAAAATTTTCACGGATAAATCAGTAATCCAAACATAAAATAAAGGGGCATAACTCTGCCAAAAATCATCTAACCATGACCAAATTCAAAATTGAACTGTCCATTTGTTTCACGTATCCATATGTTTAATTTGAGTTGAATGTGTAATGCCGTTGGAGAGATAATCAACGGAAACTGTAAATTTCATATTAAATCTAGTGAAACTCTGCCGTATCCATATAGTATATTTGAGTTGAATATGTATAACTATGAGGGAGATAATGAACAGAATCCGAAAGTTTCATATTATTTTATAAGTTCAAGAGGGATAACTCTGTCAGCTATCATCAAACAATTACCAAATTCAAACTCGACCATTGTATTCTTATAACATATCCATACGCTAAATTTGAGTTGAATATGTACAACTATTTGGGAGATAATGAACGGAAACTGAAAATTTCCTTTTTTTTCAAAGTGAAAGCAGCATAACTCTGCCAAAAATCATGGAACCATGACCAAATTTGAATTTGACCTGCGTATTCCTTTAACATATCCATATGTCAAATTTTTGTTGAGTGTAATACCGTTGGGGAGATAATGAACGGAAGCTGGAAATTTCATATTATTTTCAAAGTGAAAGGGGCATAACTCTACCAAAAATCATCGAATCATAACCAAATTTGAACTTGACCTGCGCATTCCTTTGACATATCCATATGTAAATTTTTGTTGAGTGTTATACCGTTGGGGAGATAATGAATGGAAACTTAAAATTTCATATTATTTTCAAAGTGAAAGGGGCATAACTCTGCCAATAATCATCAAACCATGACCAAATTGAAATTAACCTGTGCATCCTTTGACTTATCTTTATTTCAAAATTAAGTTGAATGTGTAATACCGTTGGGGAGATAATGATCGGAAACTGAACATTTCATATTAATTTCAAAGTGAAAGGGGCATAACTCTGCAAAATCAACAACAATGACCAAATTCGAACTTGACCTGCGCATTCCTTTGACATATCCATATAGTAAATTTGAGTTGAATATGTATAACTATTGGGGATATATTATGAACGGAAACCGAACATTTCTTATTATTTTCAAAGTGAAAGGGGCATAACTTTGCCAAAAATCATCAAACCATGACCAAATTGAACTTGACCTGCGCATTTCTTTGACATATCCATATGTCAAATTTGAGTTGAATGTGTAATACCGTTGAGGAGATAATGAAGTAAAACTGAACATTTCATATTACTTTCAAAGTGAAAAGGGGCATAACTCTGCAAAATCAACGAACCATGACCAAATTCGAACTTGACCTGCGCATTCCTTTGACATATCCATATTGTAAATTTGAGTTGAATATGTATAACTATTGGGGATATATTATGAACGGAAACCGAACATTTCTTATTATTTTCAAAGTGAAAGGGGCATAACTTTGCCAAAAATCATCAAACAATGACCAAATTGAACTTGACCTGCGCATTTCTTTGACATATCCATATGTCAAATTTGAGTTGAATGTGTAATACCGTTGGGGAGATAATGAAGTGAAACTGAAAATTTCATCAAAAATCACCGGACCATGACCAAATTCGAACTTGACCAGTATTTTCTCATGATATATCCATACGTCAAATTTAAGTTGAATGTGTGCAACCGTTACTAAGATAATGAACGGAATGACAGAATGAGGGAAGGACGGAATGACGGAACAAGGTAACACTGTATGCCCCAGCCATTTTATGGCGGGGGCATAATAAAATTGGCATAAATCATGAGGTTTGCTGCTTTCAAAACATTTTAAACAAAAACTGAAATCAAATACAAATGACACCAACATAAACAATTGGTGCTTGAAAACATTTAAAGAAAAAAGTATTGCACATTTTATAATAAAATCAGAATAAGTATACAGGTATAATTAACTAGAACTATCGCTGAATGCGATTCATACCCCCACCAATGTCCTTGACAAAAGACAACTTTTGTTTTGTTTGTTTTGGGTTTTACTTCACATCGACACAGTATAGGTCATATCGCGACGTTCCAGCTTTGCTGGTGGAGGAAGACCTCAGGTGCCCTTCCGTGCATTATTTCAGGCACGAATTGGCACCTGAGTAGAACCACCGACATTCCGTAAGCTAGCTGGATAGCTTCCTCACATGAAAGAATCCAAAGTCCCTGTCGGGATTCGAACCCACAGCGGTGAGGGGCAATTGGTTTGAAGTCAACGACCTTAACCACTCGGCCACGGATGCCCCAAAAGACGACTTTGAAAGGTGGTTAAGGGAATAACTTTACTGGCACAAATACATATACATAAAAAGAAATTATCTCTGGTGAAAAAAAAAACAAAATGTACAGGTAATAGTATATATATAAATTGTCAAATCATGTTCGAAAAACCTTTCATTTTCCCAATGTACTAAAACAAACAAAAGCAGTTAAGTTAAGAAAAAAGAATAACTATGTCAAAATGTAACTAGAACTATCACTAAAAGTGATTAATATCCCCGCAAGACTGCTTCGGAAATAAGGAAGTCACTAGTAACAGAATACCGTATAAGTACTATTTTCTGCGGAAACTTTATTTCTGCTATTTCTGCGGTTCATTACGACACCGCAGATTTAAAAACCGCAAAAAAATAAGCCTTTTCGTATGTATATATCGGAATATATCAACTACCGGTATTGTATAATTACATTAACATGTACCTTTATCAGCTATTGTAGTTGGGAATTGTTCTTAATGTATCTGTCGTGAATAAAATATTAGAAAAAAATGTTACTTTGCTTGTTCTCTTTGTTTAAATAAATGTTGTATGATTTTCTCTCACCGTTAGCTTGATTTCCTTGTAAAATCAGACTATTGTAGTTTGACGGGTGCAATAAACATACCCTTTTGTATTTGTACAATATCTTGTGTCTACGTGCAATTTTGCAATTGTTTATTATTCACACTTCATATTTATACACAGCATTAAAATTGTTAGCATTGCAGGTTTTAACATGTATATGCCGATACATGATGATTACAATGAAATACATTGTCAGTCGTCTGCATGTTAACCGGAAGTAATGTACATGTTACATCAACAAATCTTGAAATGTTGTCTGTTTGTGTAGGTTAATTTTGTAAAAATATCTTAATTAATACGCAGAAATAAAAAGCACCAATGCGAGAATGATGACAACGCAAAAATAAAATACGCAGAAATTAAAAACCCCCTATTTTAACAAAAATCGCAGAATATTAAGCCCTCAGAAATAAGTACTTATACGGTACCTTTCAAAATAATTTAAATAGAGTTATGGTTGTGGGCAATTAAAGATAGTTGTGGTTCTTGTATGTTGCATTTCCTTTCAATGTGGTTGACCATTGATTAAGTTTTATTGAATTACTCTGTAATAAGTATAGAAAAAGTTACGCTTCTTGAGCACTGCACTTCCTCTCATTGCGCTTGACCATTATATGAAGTTGCATTAAATTCTAAACATTAGTTTTTATGTAAGCAATCGGACAAGGAAAAAGAACAAAGGGCAATAACTCTACAAATACTGAAGATGGAGTTATGGTTATTGTACACTGCACTTTCTCTTATTGGGCTTGACCATTGTATAAAGTTGTATTGAATTCCAACAACTAGTTTTCAAGTTATGCACTGGACAAAAAAGTAACAAAGTTATGCACTGGACAAAAAAAGTAACAAAGGGCAATAACTGTAATTAGTCAAAATAGAGTTATGGTTCTTGTGCACTGCACTTCATCTCACTGCCCTTGACCATTTTATGAAGTTCATTGAATTCCAACCACTAATTTTCAAGTTATGCACTGGACAATAAAAAGTAACAAAGGGCAAAAACTCTTTAAAAAAGAGTCAAGAAAGAGTTATGGTTTCTGTGCACTGCACTTTCTCTCAATATACTTGACCATTGTATAAAATTATATTGAATTCCAACTAGCAGTTTTCAAGTTATGCTCTTGACAAGAAAAAAGCAAAAGGAAAAGTAACAAGGGGCAATAACTCTATAATTACTATGGACATAGTTATGGTTCTTGTGCACTGCACTTCCTCTTATTGTGCTTGACCATTGTATGAAGTTGTATTGAATTCCAACCATTAGTCTTCAAGTTATGGTCCGGACAAAAGAAAGCAATGGAAAAAGTATTAAAGGGCAATAACTCTGTTATTACTTTAGATAGAGTTATGGTTCTTGTGCACTGCACTTCCTCTTATTGTGCTTGACCATTGTATGAAGTTGTTTTGAATTCCAACCAGTAGTTTTCAATTTATGCTCCGGACAAGGAAAAGTAACAAAGGGAAATAACTCTGTAATAAGTGAAGATGGAGTTATGGTTCTTGTGCACTGCACTTCCTCTCAATGTGCTTGATCATTGTATGAAGTTGTATTGAATTCCAACCATTAGTCTTCAGGTTATGCTCCGGACAAAGAAAATGCAATGGACCGCTGGACCGACCGACCACCGAGTGACTCCTATATCCCCCCCCCCCCAAACTTCGTTTCGGGGGTATAATTAAGAGTGGAAAAACTTTGCATACCGAGCTTACTTGTGACCCTTTATATATTACATAGTTTCAAGTGAATATTTGTTCTGGTTTAAGAAATTTTAATATTATAGTAAATAAATTTAAAGACATAAAAATGGACTTAACTTTGTCAAAATGCAATACAAAGTTATCACCCCCCATCTTTTTTAAGTTATGAAATTTGACCTGCATATCTTCTCGTATATATTTGAAGTTTCAAATGATTATCTGTTCTAGTTTTAGAAATATTCAAGTACATGTTAAAATTTCAGAACATTTTCTAAGTCAATTTTTGACCTTCAAATGTGGCCTTGACCTTAAGCTGGCACAAGGGTAAGATGGGTTCTGCATATTGCCCAGTTTGGGTGAACATTTGAGTCAAGTTTGAAAAAAATCCTTCCATAAGTATAGAATTTATAGAGCAGACATGACATCGTCTAGTATTTATTGTATGTAAATTTAAAGACTTAAAAAGGGGCATAACTTTATCAAAATGCAATACAGAGTTATGAAACTTGACCTGCATATCTAAATTGTGACACTTCATACATATTTTAAGTTTCAAGCAAATACCTTTTCTAGTTTCAGAAATATTCAAATACAGTCATGATAATATTTAAGAATTTTTTCTAAGTCAATTTTTGACCTTTAAGTGTGACCTTGAACTTAAGCCAGCAAAAGGGTAACATGGGTTCTGCACATTACCTTGTTGAGGTGAACATTTGAGCCAAGATTGAAAAAAAATCTTTCAATTAGTGTAGGACTTGCAGAGCGGACAAAACATAATAATATTTGATTGTTTGATATTTGACCTTCAATTGTGACCTTGACCTTGAGCTGACACATGGTCAACATGGGTTCTGCACATACCCCTTGTTGAGGTGAACATTTGAGCCAAGTTTGAAGAAAATCCTTCAATTGGTATAGGATTTATAGAGCTGACACGATAATGGAGACGGACAGACCGACACGACAAAGCAAATCCATTATAGCACCCCCCACACATTTTGTGGTGGGGGTATAATAAAGGTCAAAGTTGCCCATGAAGTTTCAAGCCAATATCTCACATACTCCAGACAAAAATGAGAGACAGGCAGATGGAAACTAATAGACTATAACCATATTTCACGATGTCTTTTTGATGGGGGATGATATATATATCAAATATATGCTGTATTTCTAACAAAATATGCCTAACAAAATATGCATATCTCAAAAGTTGATTACACCAAACAATGTGGGCACCATCTTCAAAGCATCAACTTGAGCAGCTAATGAGGCACCATATGCTTTTAAACTACCTAGATCCTGGTCAAGCTTACTCTCATATTCCTGAAAAATATGTTGTAAAATGATTATTGTATAAAAACAGTGTTGCATCTAGAATTTCAAAATTATGGGGGATTGTCCCCCACTCAACTAAAAAATGTGGGGGATTTGAAAAAAATGTGGGGGACATACATTTACCTTACAATATGACGTACCGAAAATACTTTATTTATTTTGCATTGAGGCATTTTTGACAGCTATCGTCCGGTCAACAACGGAAATAGAAAAAATAAAATATTGACGAATACTATAATACACACGCGATATGACCCAGTCGGCTGCTACAAGCGATATAGTACGTATTTTAGTCCTTACCGCGAGTGAAAACTAACACGGCTGAAGCCTTCAAGATACGATGAAAATAAACTGAATTAAGTTGTAAGGATCGTCAGATGCGCGACTTGACGCGCATTGACATCATTAAATTGCGCGATCTGCATAAAATATGCTCAAATCGCGCAGCCTAGATGCAACGCAATAATTAATGATTGTTACTGATACTATTATAATAGTTCTAACTCCTTAAAGCTAAACAAGTGGGCCATGATGGCCCTAAATCGCTCCACTAGAAGATACAATCTGCATGGGCAGGATTTATTTACCAGGATATCCCTAATGAAACAGAACTAGCAAGAGCCCGGTTTGAGCTGGGTGATGCTCCCCGAATAGGTTTTGGACACAGGAAAGTACACCTCTTGTAGTTTCAGAGTTATGTCCCTGGAAAAAGTTTAATGTCCAATAATTCCTAAATTAGGCAAGGCAGAGTAACTGTTCTTTGCACTGCACTTCTAATCAATGCGATCTATCAACCTACAAAGTTTCTTGTTGATATCTCTTATGGTTTCCGAGTTATGTCCCGGACAACTTCAAAATGTAAAAATGAACAAAGGGCAATTACTACAAAATTTGGCAAGGCGGAGTTCAAGTTCTTGTGCACTGCACATCTACCTATTGAGATCCATATACCTACAAAGTTGCATGTTGATATCTCTTGTACTTTTAGAGTTATTTCCCAGACAAGATTTTTTTAAAAGGGGAGATAATTCAAAAATTGGGCAAAACAGAGTTATGTTTTTTTTGTACTGCACTTTAACTCAATGAGATCAATCTACCAACAAAGTTTCATGTTGATATATCCTATAATTTTAATGTAATTTCCCAGACAAAGTTCAAAAAGTAAAAATAAACAAAGGGCAATAACTCCAGAATTAGGCACGGCAGTTATGATTTTTGTGCACTGCACATCTACCCATTGAGATATATCTTCCTACAAAATTTCATATTGATATCTCTTATAGCTTTACAGCTATGTCCAGCTATGTCCTGGACACGATTTTTCTAAAAGGGGAGATTATTAAAAAATGAGGCTAAACAGAGTTATGGTTCTTTTGCACTGCACTTCTACTCAATGAGATCTATCTACCTACAATGTTTCATCTTGATATCTCTTATAGTTTTAGAGTTATGTTCCGGACAAAGTTTAAAGTGTTAAAATTAACAAAGGGCAATAACTCCAAAATTATGAAAAATAGAGTTATTGTTCTTATGCACTGCACATCTTCCCATTGAGATCTATTCAACTACAAAGTTTCATGTTGATATCTCTTATAGTTTTAGAGTTATCCCCAAGACAAGATTTTTCTATAAGGGGAGATAATTCAAAAACCGGGCAAAATAGAGTTATGGTTCTTTGACACTGCACTCCCCCTCAATGCCCTCTACCCCACTGTAAGAAGTTTAAACAAATTATCTCCAAGGGTTTTCAAGTTATGCTCCGGACAAGACAACGTACGGACAGACGGATGTTCTTACCAGAGCTACAGTATTGGGTTTTCTTTTGTTCTTTTTAACCCCACAATGCAGAAAATAACCCGACAAGAGAAACGGAATGAATGACATCAAAGACATCTATTGTTATGAGAACAATAGACCAAACCCCATAATGTTGCTCTGGTTTGTACGGACAGACGGACGGACAGACATGAGCCTTAGCCGAGCACATTGTCTTGATGTGATAGACATTTGTGCCAAGTTATTTTAAAATTCTTCCATGCATGACAAAGTTACAGTCCGGACATGAATGTGTATCTTCAAATGCTTCTCGAGAGAATGAGTACCTTCAAACTATAAGTGTGACCTTGACCTTGAAGGTAGGGACATGAGTCTTTGTCTGGACACATCATCGTGATGTGGTAGACATTTATGCCTAGTTATTTCAAAATCCTTCGGTGCATGACAAAGTTACAGCCCGGACACGAATGTGTGTACCTATAAACTCTAATTGTGATAAAGTGAACTTCAAAATGGTAGTGTGACCATGACCTTTGAGGTAGAGACGTGATACTTAGACGCAACACATCGTCTTGCTGTTATAGACATTTATCCCAAGTTATTTTAAAATCCTTCCATGCATGACAAAGTTACAGCCCGGACACAATTGTGTGTACCTATTAATTCTAATTGTGATAATGTGAAAATTCAAAATGTTAGTGTGACCTTGACCTTTGAGGTAGAAACGTAATTCTTGGACGCAACACATTGTCTTGATGTGGTAGACATTTATGCCTATGCTGCAGTAAAATGTTTTTTATTTTATTAATTCATCGTTTAAAATAAAATTTATCCCACAACATATCGTTCAACAAGTTTGGAAAAGTATTGCCCAATCGAACTCAACCAGTTACAATATGCATAAATATAGATTAACACAATGTACCATTTATAAATAATACTCATTTGAAAACACTAGGATAATAATTCTTAATATTTAAAAGACATAACGTATTCGACATGCTGATGCACCAACAAACAATTATATTGACATACATGTATTTATCATTCGACGGATGTTAGCTGGAAAATCTTTAGCCTTTGTCCTATGTGATGCAGTAATAGTTGAACCTCGGTTGGCTCGAACTACCGATCTCTCGAACAAATTTGCACAGACCCTCCAATTCGAGCGAACGAAGTTCGACTGTATATAAGGAACAGCTATGATCACCTGGGAAAGATTTAAACTACATACAAAATACCTAAGCTATAGGACTTTCACTTTTAGAGAACAGAGAGGATTTCATTTTTAAAATCAATTTTTAGCTGACCCAGATGTACAACAATTTTAGTAGAGCTTCATGCTAAAGACATCCCAGGAAAATTTTTATCAAAATGACACAGTGGTTTCACAAGAAAAGTCGTTTGAAACAAGTTATTGGTGGACTGACAGACCATGGATGCCAGACAAATTGTGATCACTAAATGCTCAGGTTAGCTAAAAATCATTATAATGACATTTCCATTAATACAGATCCTGAGATTTTTGTTTTGTTTTTTTAAAACGTCATAAATAAAAAAATTCTATAAAATACAAATGATCATAATATACATATATGAAGACTTACCTCTAATTCTTTAACTTGTTTTGACATCTCGTAGTTATCTTCTAAAGAACTTTTATGAGATTTTCTCAGAACTATAATTTCTTTTTCTCTTTCTGTGAAGAAGGAAGAAAATAACAATTTTAAAATCAATAAACTATGCAGACCATTATTATATACATGTATATTAGACAATATTACAATCCAGTAACATCTATTAAGTGTATATTGTTGGGTTTTTACGATGGGGTGTTCAAATATGAATGCAACTGGGTCAATTTTCTAAAGTGATTAACAAACAGTGACAAAATAATTATCTCAATCCTTCAAAATACTCACTATGTGATATACAAAGTTTTAGTGTTTTAATCAAATTTTTAAATGTGTTTTTTTGATTAAAGTTAAATTAAAGCTTTAATTTATTTATTTCATATACATGTATATACAGTAGAACTTCTATGAGTCGAACTTCGATTAGTCGATTTTCTCGATGTGTCGAAGTAAAATGAAAGTCCCGATTTTTTCCCCTATATATTCCTTATAAAAACCTATATATGAGTCGAAATATTATGTGTCGAAATGTGTCAAACTTTTTAGAGGTCCGTATAGAATAAATCAAGTACAATTTACCACAAATAAGTCGAAGTCCTTCGATTATTTTGACAACTTCGATCTCGAGACTTTTTTCACACCTTTTCTAGCCGCGAAGATGATTTCCGATCAACTTGTATGACAGGTGCTGTTGTTAACAGCCTTTGTTTGTGTTTAAATGTGTGATAAAGTGCTTTAATTGTTACCATTCAAATTGCTGTAGTGGTTTTTTAAAGTAAACAATAAGAACTACTTTCATTTGAGAACTTCCTTGACCCGGTGTCGCTGGATAATCACACGGGGATATATTTACTATAAGCTGGGTTAGTTCTCTCCCTTTTGTTTTGTTACGCCTTTTGTTACTTGCTTGTCATTAAATTGAGACCTATTCATGAGTCGAAGACCCGATGTGTCGAAGTTTTTATACAAGTCCCTTCAACTTCGACTTATCGAAGTTTTACTGTACATGTATATATTTACTGGATCAGACATGAGATATAAACTTAAATAAAATGATCATTTTAAGCAAGTATCTGGCAAGCTAAGTAACATTTTTTCTACACAAGTTTCTTAACTAGAAATTACCACATAAGAATTTTACAACAAGTAACTTAATTATTAGAATGTACACATTTTTGCTTCCATTAAATTTTACTACAGTTTCTGGTTTAAAGGCACATTATGCCTCAGAAATTTTTATTTCATTATAAAGGGTAACTATGAATTGTATAATGTTTAAGAAAATTTAGGGAACATTAGATGCATATTACCTGAAGAATGTAACAATGATTGTGTAATAATTTGTCATAAATATAACTGTGTTAAAAGTTTAAACGACTGTACAAATAAAATCCTTAGATTTTCAATATTAACTTTGTTTCTTTATGACAAGATATGCGATATTGTTCGTATTTTGTTGTACTCAATGATTACAATACATATCTGAATATGAGTAACTTTTTTTTCCGCTCATATTATAAGTTATACATGTATTATGATAGTATAGATAGAACTTAAGATATATCCAACTTGCCGTTTTAGGTTAACCAATTATTCAAAGTGCTGAAAAGGGCAATAACTTGATAAAAATGGAAGCCATAGTTATAACTTGTCCAGATCATGTACATTGTGTTGATAAGTAAGTGTGTGAAGTATGAAGCCATTGGTATAGGTAGTACTTGAGAAAAATCCAACTTGCCGTTTTAGGTTAACCTTGTACGGACAAACAGATGGATGTCCAGCAGAAATGGAATAAAGGGCCATTTCTTTTGTTATTTTCTATTGTTTAATAGAGGGCAAATGGCCCCTTTAACTCTATTGGAATGAATTCTATTGTTCTCTTTTGTTCTGTTTACAGTTAGATGGCCCCCTATCCCTATTCGGTAGTGTGGACAGACGGACGGTTCAATTACTATATGCCCAGGGGCATAAATACTAAACAATATCAGTCTAGAACTAAATAAACTAGAAGGGTTTTTTGCCACAAAAACATGTTTCCCACAAAAGGTTGGACCGCTGCATTTAAATCCCATCAGCAAATTGACCTATGAAAGTTTTTTTTTCTATTTTAGCTCTGGTGACCATTTTTTGCTGTGAATCATCAGGAAACCATTTTCCTATTTTTAATTACAGTGACCTTAACCCCATGGGGTCAAAAAGCAATCCTAACCAGGGGCTTGATATAAGCTTACTATATATCAAGTTGATTGAAATATCTCATTGCTTATTTCAGTTATCAGGAAACCATTTTTCTATTTTTATAAACAACCATTTTTCTATTTTTATAAACAATGACCTTGACTTCTGCTCAGGGGGTCCAAATGTGATCAAGAGTCTTCATATAAGCTTGCTATATACCAAGTTTGATTACAATATCTCATTCCTAACTCTAGTTATTCTCCAGAAACCATTTTCTTTTTTTAGTAACAGTGACCTTAACCTTGACCCAAAAGTAATCATAATAGAGGTTTCCATATAAGGTTGCTATATACCAAGTTTGATTACAATAACTCATTCCAAATTCTGTTTTGTTTTATAAAAGTTGACCTAATAACTGAGCTACCACCAGTTTCAAAACTTGTCAATACTGCACAGATTTGCAGGCTAGCCTTGGCTATAATTACCGGCAGCAAAATCTAATAATTTCCTGACTTGCCTTGTGATGTATAAAGTAAACTTACCACTATTTTTGGACATAAATTCCTGTATAAATTCACTTATATTTAGTGAGCTGTCCTTTCTTAGCAAAGTATCTTGAGATTTTTCTGTAATAGTTATGGTTGGATCTATGTTGTCTGTGGATAGTATCAGTTGTTCAGCTTGAATAATCTCATCTATATACAATGACAGAAAATTCTATAACATGTCTAACTGAACTGCATGTGAAGTGTTTGTTATTTACTGTTTGTTTTTTTTTACAACATTTCCATCATATTACACCTAGTAAAATAGTTCAAAGACAGAAAAGGCCGGGTTGCATATGTATACAAAATATCATGAGGCTGTGAATTGTTACTTAAATATTCTAGCACTGACCATTGATGTTGAAAATTTAACTAAGTCAGTAAACCGGAAATGGATGAGCAACAGACCTGAAATGGAATGCCACAATATGGGACCACATGTCAATGCTGTGAACCACAAATCAAGAGGCTGTGGTAAGTAGTTGCTGAGAAAACTGTTACGAAAATTTCCTACCATTGACCATTTATGTCGAAAATTTAACTAAGTCGGCACACAGGAAATGGATGAGCTACAGACATGAAATCAAATCCCACGGTATGGGACCATGTGTTAAAGCTGTATACAAAATATCAGAAGGCTGTGATAAGTAGTTGCTGAGTAAACTGTTATGAAAATTTCCTACCATTGACCATTAATGTCGAAAATTTAACTAAGTTGGAAAACAGGAAGTGGATGAGCGACAGACCTGAAATCAAATCCCACATTATAGGACCACATACAAAGGGCAATTTCTAAAAAATTATGAAGGGTAGAGTTATCATTCTTGTGCACTGCACACCTCCTGAGTGAGATCTATTCACCTATGAAGTTTAATGTTGATATCTCAAAGGCTTTTTGAGTTATGCTCTGGACAAAAATTAAGTTTGAAAAATAACAAAGGGCAATAACTGAAAAATTATACAAGGTAGAGTTATTCTTGTGCACTGCACTCCTCCTCAATATGATCTATCCACCTATGAACTTTCAAGTTGATACCTCAAATACTTTTTGAGATAATTATGCTCCGGACAAAAATGTTGGACGGAAGGACGGACGGAGACTATTTCTATATCCCCCGCGGCCTTTCACCGAGGGATAACAAGAGCCAACGCCAGGCGGCAATGTATGACTTTATTTACTTTTTCTTAATGCAAACAATCGGTTTAAACAAATTTTTAAAAAGAAAGTTAAAGAAAAAAAAAGTTTTTCCTTTTTTAAATTTTAATAGGTCTGTCTGGTCACATCATCTTGCTGTTTTGTCCTAATAAAATTATTTTCATAAATAAATGACAATTAAGAAGCTAGAAATAGGTCGACACACCACGGTTGCCCCCGCATGCAGCCAAAATTTCAGATGTTATAATATTTAGTTCCAAATTTTTTGCACAAATTATTTTTTTCATTTTAAGTTCAAAGCCCTTAAAACTATTCAATGTAAACACAAACCATTTTTATACAAAGTTCAAGGCACTGAAACTATTCAGTGTTAACCTTTTGTAAATTGCATAGCCAAAATAATGTCTACATATATTTCCACAAAAGTATGAGTGCTGAAACTGAAAATTCAAAATTTTTCCAACATTCAAGAGAGATAACTTTGTCCAAAATCATTGAACCAAGACCAAAATGAAACTTTAACTGCCTATTCCTAAGATATATCTATATGTCAAATTTGAGTTGAATGTGTACAACCATTGGGGAGATAATGAACGGAAACTAAAAATTTCTGGGTTGTTTTCAAAGTTCAAGAGGGATAACTCTGTCAGCTATCAAACCATGACCAAATCCGAACTTGACCAGTGTATTCTTATGACATATCCATATGTTAAATTTTAGTTGAATATGTACAACTGTTGGGGAGATAATGAACGGAAACTGAAAATTTCCTCTCTTTTTTTCAAAGTGAAAGGGGCATAACTCCACCAAATATCATAGAACCATGAAGAAATTGGAACTTAAACTGCTTATTCCTAAGATGTATCTATATATCAAATTTGAGTTGAATGTGTATTACTGTTGGGGAGATTGTGAACGAAACTGAAATGTTCATATTAATTTCAAAGTGAAAGGGGCATAACTCAAAAATCATCAAAACATGACCAAATTCGAACTTGACCTGCACATTCCTTTGACATATCCATATGTAAAATTTGAGTTGCATGTGTAATACCGTTGGGGAGATAATGAATTGCATATTATTTTCAAAGTGAAAGGGGCATAACTCTGCCAAAAATCATCCAACCATGACCAAATTTAAACTTGACCTGCGCATTCATTTGCCGTATACATATGTCAAATTTGAGCTGAATGTGTTATGCCGTTGGGGAGATAATGAACGGAAACTGAAAATTAATCAAGGGGCATAACTCTGTCAAAAATTATCGAACTAACCTGTATTTTCTCATGATATATCCATAAGTATTTGAGTTGAATGTGTGCGACTGTTATCAAGATAATAAACAGAAACTGATGATGATGGAATGACGGAAAGACGGAACAGGGTAACACTATATGCCCTAGCCATTTAATGGCAGGGGCATAAATATAATCAAAATTCAATCATTTGAAATATCTAGCAATGACATGTCTGGTTTCTTTGGTGTTTGTAGGAATCTGGTGAGATTGTAACCTTGTCATGTTAGTCAAAGCGGCCTATACATCCAACATTTAATACTTTATCACTTAAATATTTCGATGTGGTAAACTTTATTGAACAATTTCTTTATAATGATGGTGCACAAAATAAAATGAATGATTCAGCTAATTATGCATTCAGTTTTTTTTTGTATAGTGAAATAAATCATATAGTTCAAACAGTTTTAATTTCTTTCAGTTCAAAACATATACACAAAAGCAGACACAAAACTTTTAAATTGATACAAAATGACTAAGAGTGACCTTGACCTGATGAAAGCCAAACTTGATCTTTGCACATGGTCTCATTATGTTTAACATTTCTGCCAAGTAGTTTGCTAAGTTTCCATTTCCTTTCGCCAGTTCAAAAGATACAGACAAACATAAATTTCTAACAGACAGACGGATGGCTGGATGCACATGTGCATAACATTATAAGCCGAAATTGTTTGTCTCCTATAACTCACAAAGTACTTGAATAAAAATGTATAAAGGATAATTATGATATACTTACTTGTAATATTCTGTAAATGCTGTCTACCAAACATATGTTCTTTTTTGTTATGTGCAGAAATAAAATACTGGTTACACACTTTACAGTACAACTCATTCATGTCATCATCCACCTAAAATTATATCATACAATCTAACTTTAATAAGGGTTTATCAATAAATTCAAAAGCAAGTCATAATGCAAAAAGTTTATAAGCTATAGTTATATGTAATACATATATGTCTATGTAAGTGACCCCAGGAAATGGTCATTCTTTATCAATGAGTCATGACTGATATGTGTAAAGGTCCACAAGGCAATTCTACATGCCAAATACAAGGGTTGTCCCAAAAGTCTGTGACAAATTTTATAGACGGTTCATTTTTAATGCCAATACATAATAATTCACACATCTAACTGTTAAGTTTATTATTTAACATTACAACAAATCATTTACAAAATATTTACTCTAATTACTTAGAAATTTTCAGTATTAACGACATTGGTTTGAGTTGCCGGCGCACATGAAATAATTTGCATTTTGTTATGAATAGGCTAACATTAATTATGTATATTTCAAAAATCTGATGATGTGTCTGCACAATGTCATGTTGACTTCCTCTGCTGCTATTGTTAACATCATCTCAGAAAATCTTAGTTAAATAACTTAAGAAACGAACAAGATGCAGATAAATGAAAATATCTCATAGAAAATAGGAAAGTTAAAATGGCGACGTTTGAAGAATTTGAGGCGCAGCTAGCTAGTGAACAGGTCACTCGATCAGGTTTCCTGACCATTTCAAGATGACACATGTTACATTTCAACAAATTTACCAAATAGAACAGTTAAGCAACATATCCTGAGCATTTGTTTACAAAAGGCATGAACTAAACCAGACTTCTGCGCTACAAAAAGCGAAAATAAGAAATTAACAAAAATAGGAAGGCCGATCTCCGTCGCCTATTTCCTACAGCTAAAAGCAAGTGCAACGAGACCGGAATTCGTGTATAGCAAAAATTAATATATGCCATCCAAACATTCAACAGACATTAACATATTCTGTACAGACTTGTCCAATCTATCATTTGGTCTTTGGAGTGGGTGGGGGGTGCAATATAAAAACTGCCTAGGCTAGGGAGGGCTATCGCAGATTTTTTTCAATTCATGCGCTTTAAGGGTCATCTTTTCTAATCTACTGTGTGGTCTTTAGTGAGCTATAGGACAAGTACATATTGCAGCAGGGCGAGTAAATATTCTAAGCTACTCGCCCTGCAGGACCAGTTGCTCCCACAAAATTTGTCGAGCCCCGATTCAATATCTACAAAATTGTTTAGGTGATGTCATTTTACACTTTTTTTTTCCATTTTAAGGTCTTGCAGCGATCTTTGTCAACAAACCAGAACCATTTGAGCAATTTTTGTGAAGGACTACCAGTGCTTATTGTTTATTCCTGTATAGTTTCATCAAAACCTACAGAATTGTTCAGAAGGAGAAATCATCTAAAGGTTTTTCTTATTTTTAGCTCGGACTGCCATCTTGTTCAGCAGACCAGAAGTGAAAATGAAAATCTGAGCCTTCTGAGGATCATTCCTGTATAGTTTAATCACTATTGGTTCCAGGGTTTAGCAGAAGATATTATCAAGTAAAAATAATAACCATGGACAACAGACAGTGATGCGGGACACAGGGTAACACGATAGCTAACCTTTACTTAACTCCAGGGCTATTGACATTTTTGACAATTAAAAAGACATGCTTTGTTGACAAATTACCTGATATAAACAAGAGGGCCATGATGGCCCTAGATCGCTGATCTGACTTATCAAACTCATCCAAACAATTACCTAGACAAGCATTCTGACCAAGTCTCATGACAGGTGAGTCAAAAATGTGACCACTACAGTGTTAACAAGGATTATCCATATTTGAGCAGTGCGACCTAGTTTTTTACCCAGGTGACACATATTCAAACTTGACCTAGAAATCATCAAAACAAACTTTCAGACCAATTTCCAGGATACTTGGATCAAAACAGTAGCAACTAGAGTTTTAACAAGATTTTTCTATTTTTAGCTCCGGTGACCTAGTTTCACATGCGATTTTGAACTCATCCAAGCAATTACCTAGACAAGCATCCTGACCAAGTTTGATGATAATTGAGTCGAAAATGTGACCACTAGAATGTTAACAAGGTTTTTCCATGTTTGGGCGGTGTGACCTAGTTTTTCATCCAAGATGACCCATGTTCGATCTTGACTTAGAAATCATCAAAACAAACTTTCAGGCCAATTAACAGAATATTTGGATCACAACAGTAGCCACTAGAGTGTTAACAAGATTTTTCTATTTTTAGCTCCTGTGACCTAGTTTTTCATCCGAGATGTCCCATGTTTGATTTATTCCCAGCAATGACCTAGACAAGTTTCCTGACCAAGTTTGATGGCAATTGAGTCAAAATTGTGACCACTAGAGTGTTAACAAGGTTTTTCTATTTTTAGCTCCTGTGACCTAGTTTTTCATCCGAGATAACCCATGTTTAATCTCATCCGAGCTATCACCTAGACAAGCATCTTGATCAAGTTTGATGATGATTGATGCAAAAATGTGACCGCTAGAGTGTTAACAAGGTTTTTCTATTTTTAGCTCCGGTGACCTACTTTTTCATCCGAGATGACCCATGTTCAAACTCATCCGAGCTATCACCTAGACAAACATCTTGACCAAGTTTGATGATGACTGATGCAAAAATGTGACCGCTAGAGTGTTAACAAGGTTTTTCTATTTTTAGCTCCGGTGACCTACTTTTTCATCCGAGATGACCCATGTTCGAACTCATCTGAGCTATCACCTAGACAAGCATCTTGACCAAGTTTGATGATGATTGATGCAAAAATGTGACCGCTAGAGTGTTAACAAGGTTTTTCTATTTTTAGCTCCGGTGACCTACTTTTTCATCCGAGATGACCCATGTTCGAACTCATCCAAGCTATCAACTAGATAAGCATCCTGACCAAGTTTGATGATGATTGATGCAAAAATGTGACCGCTAGAGTGTTAACAAGGTTTTTCTATTTATAGCTCCGGTGACCTAGTTTTTCAACCGAGATGACCCATATTCGAACTCATCCGAGCTATTATCTAAACAAGCATCCTGACAAAGTTTGATGATGATTGGGTCAAAAATGTGACCACTAGAGTGTTCACAAGGTATTTCTATTTTTAGCTCCAGTGACCTAGTTTTTCATCCGAGATGACCCATGTTCGAACTCATCCAAGCAATTGACTAGACAAGCATTCTGACCAAGTTTGATGATGATTGGTTCAAAAATGTGACCACTAGAGTGTTCACAAGGTTTTTCTATTTATAGCTCCTGTGACCTACTTTTTCATCCGAGATGACCCATGTTCGAACTCATCCGAGCTATCACCTAGACAAACATCCTGACCAAGTTTGATGATGATTGGGTCAAAAATGTGACCTCTAGAATGTTCACAAGGTTTTTCTATTTTTAGCTCTTGTGACCTAGTTTTTCATCCGAGATGAGCCATGTTCGAACTCATCCGAGCTTTCAACTAGATAAGCATCCTGACCAAGTTTGATGATGATTGAGGCAAAAATGCGACCGCTAGAGTGTTCACAAGCAATTGTGGACGGAAGAAGGACTTTCACCGATCCTAAAAGCTCACCCTGAGCAAGCTCAGGTGAGCTAAAAACTAGAACTGTGTCCAAAGGATACGGATGCCCCCACTGACAACGTATATATGGTATATAGTGAAACTAGAAATATGTCATCATGCCACGGATGCCCCCGCATGCAGCCAAAATTTCAAAAGTTATAATATTTAGTTCCAAATTTGTTTGCACAAATTATTTTTTTCAGTCTATGTTCAAAGCCCTTAAAACTTTTCAATGTTAACACAAACCATTTTTATACAATGTTCAAGGCACTGAAATTATTCAGTCTTAACCTTTTGAAAATAGCAAATTGCATATTTGTAGCCAAAATAATGGCTATATACATTTCCACAAAAGTATGAGTGCTGAAACTGAAAGTTCAAAATTTTTCCAACATTCAGGAAAGATAAGTTTGTCCAAAATCATTGAACAACGACCAAATTCCAACTTAAACTGCTTATTCCTAAGATGTATCTATATTATTTTCAAAGTGAAAGGGACATAACTCTGCCAAAAAATCATCGAACCATGACCAAATTCCAACTTGACTTGCGCATTCCTTTGACATATCCATGTCAATTTTGAGTTGAATATGTAACACTGTTGGGTTGATAATAAACAGAAACTGTAAATTTCAAAGTGAGAGGGGCATTACTCTGCCAAAAATCATTGAACCATGACCAAATTTGAACTTGGCCTGCGCATTCCAAAAATATATCCATATGTCAAATTTGAGTTGATTGTGTAATACTGTTGGGGAGATAATAAACGGAAACTGAAAATTTCATATTATTTTTAAAGTGAAAGAGGCATAACTCTGCCAAAAATCATCGAACCATGACCAAATTTGAACTTGACCTGCACATTCCTTTGACTTATCCATATGTCAAATTTGAGTTGAATGTGTAATACTGTTGGGGAGATAATAAACGGAAACTGAAAATTTCATATTATTTTCAAAGTAAAAGGGGCATAACTCTGCCAAAAATCATCAAACCATGACCAAATTTGAACTTGACCTGTATTTTCTCATGACATATCCATATGTCAAGTTTGAGTTGAATGTGTTGTACCATTGTGGAGATAATGAACGGAAACTGAAAAGTTCATATTATTTTCAAAGTGAAAGGGGCATTATTTTGCCAAAAATCATCAAACCATGACCAAATTTGAACTTGACCTGCGCATTCCTTTGACGTATCCATATGTCAAGTTTGAGTTCAATGTGTTGTACCATTGGGGAGCTAATAAACGGAAACTGAAAATTTCATATTATTTTCAAAGTAAAAGGGGCATAACTCTGCCAAAAATCATCGAACCATGACCAAATTTGAACTTGACCTGTATTTTCTCATGACATATCCATATGTTAAGTTTGAGTTGAATGTGTTGTACCGTTGGGGAGATAATGAACGGAAACTGAAAATTTCATATTATTTTCAAAGTAAAAGGGGCATAACTCTGCCAAAAATCATCGAACCATGACCAAATTTGAACTTGACCTGTATTTTCTCATGACATATCCATATGTCAAGTTTGAGTTGAATGTGTTGTACCGTTGGGGAGATAATGAACGGAAACTGAAAATTTCATATTATTTTCAAAGTAAAAGGGGCATAACTCTGCCCAAAAAAATAGAACCATGACCAAATTTGAACTTGACCTGTATTTTCTCATGACATATCCATATGTCAAGTTTGAGTTGAATGTGTTGGTCCGTTGGGGAGATAATGAACGGAAACTGAAAATTTCATATTATTTTCAAAGTAAAAGGGGCATAACTCTGCCAAAAATCATCGAACCATGACCAATTTCGAACTTGACCTGTATTTTCTCATGACATATCTATATGTCAAATTTGAGTTCAATATGTGCAACGGTTATTAAGATAATGAACGGAAACTGATGATGACGGAAGGACGGAATGACGGAACAGGGTAACACTATATGCCCTTGCCATTATATGGCGGGGGCATAAAAATCAACAAAGGGCTATAATTCTGTTAAATTTGGTCGCAGCAAAAATTCCTTCCTGTACTTTCATCTACACATTAAGGTTGTTCATCCCTGGAAGTTTTAGCAAAATCTGCCATCCGGTTTAAGAGGAGTTGCGTTCACAAAATTTCTACATAGTATATAGTGAAAAAATCAACAAATGGCCATAATTCTGTTAAATTTGCTTGCAGCGAAAATTCCTTCCTTTACTACCATCTACACATTAAGGTTGTTCATCCCTGGAAGTTTAAGCAAAATCTGCCATCCGGTTTAAGAGGAGTTGCGATCACAAGATTTCGGGACGTACGGACGGACAGACGTTCCAACATTTTGGGTTTAGGGGCTATTTTCTTTGTTTTCTTAAGGGCTACTAGCCCATAAACCCTTTGATCACGGAATGAACCTATTGTTCTCTTTTGTTCTCTTTACTGTTATATAGCCCCTAAACCCAAAATGTTTGCTCAGACGGACAGACGGACGGACATGTGCAACGCTATATGCTCCCACTTTGTGGGGGCATAAAAATCAAAAAGATTACTTTATGAGAAAAATAAACCTCAATATCTATAAGTCCTTTTCCATCTTCTGTTAGGCAAGGGTCGAGATCACTGTTGCTTCGTTTGTTTTTCAGGTATGTCTGGAATTGTACAGATTTCTGGAATTCTTGCATCTCATTTATGTATCTTTGCTTGTCTTCCTGAGCCATTTTTAAATATCTCTGACAATAAAGAAAATACCACTGACAATGAAACATATATCTCTAACAACAAGAGCCACTGCCTAGTGGGGGCCACACTCGATTTCTTCTTATTTCTAAAGTCAAAGATATCAGAGGTAAAGAGTACAAAACTTCATAGTTCAATTATGACCTTAACTGTCAAGCTTATTTAAATATCAAGGTCACATTTGAATTAATCATCATCTTGTTCAACTTAACCAATTTTAGCAACTTTTTTAAGGACTAAAAGTTTTTTCTGCAAAGTTTCATCAAAATCTATTGGGTGATGTCATTAAAGATCCTGTATGTTGTAATTAAGGATGTAACATACATTTAAGTGAAGGTTTATATATGTAAATAATTATTCTCCAAACATCCAAGAATGTGATAAATGTGTACAGCAAATGTTTATATAAATATAATTAAAATTTAAGTTAATGCATTCAGTTTTTATCTATAAAACTGGCCTAGACTTTATCTAAAATAAATTTCTAATAACCTTCCTTTATTAACATGAAATGTTAAATTCGGTAATATCTTTACAAATAATGTTTTTTGAAACTTAAAAGTATTATTAAATCTTCATTTGAGCATCAGATTTAAGGCATAAAAGCATAAAACATTTGTGTTACAGGATTTTTTAACACTTTTTTCTTTCTACTTTTTTCCTTTGCTTCCATCTTGTTCAACAGACTGGAACCATTTGAGCAATTTTTATAAAGGAATAAATCATTCCTGTATAGTTTCATCAAAATCTACTCAATAGTTTACTGTTAAAGAGGAAATATCATTTAAAGGTTTATCCATTTTTAGCTTTGGTGACCATCTTGTTCAGCAGATATTTACACCCAATTTTGATTTAAATTTTCAAGAGGACTATTTAAGGATCATTCATGTATAGTTTCATCAAAATCAGTTGAGGAGACGCCATTTGAAGGTCTTTCTATTTTTTAATTAGACCACTATCTTTCAATTAGACCACTGTTTATTGAATTTTGGTTTATCAGACCCGCAGACCCTTATTGTTGACAAACAAAAACTGTGAAAGCCAGACAAGATTATTTTATTTATAGCTCTGGCGGCCAGTATGTTCAGTGAAGCGAAATGTGCCGGCAATATGCACAACTAGGCGTGGTACTGACAATTCCTGTAAAGTTAAAAAAATTCCACCAGTAGTATGACCTGTATATGTATGACAATTTTTTGCTCTTTTTTTGTGCAGCAAAGTGGAACGTGCCGGTATTGTTCACAACTAGGTATGGTACTGATTACTCCTGTAAAGTTTGGTTGAAATCCCACCAGTAGTTTGACCTGTAAAGGCCTGACAAGCTTAATGCGGACAGACGTGCCATTTAAATGGACTAAGGGGCCATTTCTTTTGTTATTTTCTTTTGTTTAATAGAAGCCCCTTATTCTATTGTTACGGAATGAACTCTATTGTTCTCTTTTGTTCAATTTACAGTTAGATGGCCCACTACTTCTCTTAAATAGCCCGGACAGACGGACGGATGGACAGACAGATGGCGAAGGCAAAAACAATATGTCTCCCATAATAAAAACAAAGGTTGGGCATTACACGTCTGAATGTAAATTTGTTTGAGTAACCAAAAAAAAAAATCTTTCAATAAGGGTACAGACCCAATCAAGAAACTGGTCAGAAAAACGTTACTAATCTTAATCATCTTTATGTTACTATATGACCTCCAAGGTGGCAGCATTTTTTGCCCTAAGTGGATGATTCATAAAACTTTTATAGAGATTCATAGTATTTATCCATAAAAAGATAAACTATGTTTTCCAATATCCAAGTCTACATCAAGCAAGTGACGTCCAGGGCAGGGCCAATTTTGACCTGAGGGAAAATATAATATAACTTTGTAGAAGACTATACTAGTGGCAAAGGCTTATCCCATTTCAATATGCCAGCAGGTTACCGGCTGAAATGCTTGACAGGCAGGAGAACAAAGTTTACAATTACCTGTTTCTCATCCTCCCTCATGTGTGACCACTCTTGCCCCATCTGCTTAGTGACAATTGGAAATGACAGCTCAGGATTGGTCAGTTTAATCTGCTGTCTTCTCTGCGATGCAAATATCACATACCTGTAATTAAGATCCTTATATAACTTACAAAAACATAACACAAAAACAGATTCATATAAATTTTACAGCGATAATAATGGGTGATTTAAACATTGCTCAACAAATTACAAATAAATATGTAAATAAAATAGACAAATGCATTTTTGAGGTAAAATGACACCAAAGAAAACAAAAATGTGTTTGATAATAGTTTGATAGATACGCCCCTTCCCAAGATTGTCAGTAACAATATTTCAAACAAGGCTGCCATCAGTGACCACATGTGTTGCCTCATGATAGCTATAACAGGAAAAACAAGAGCTGTCACATGGAGGTATTGAAACTAACTAATTGCTTAATACTGTTCTTTGTATTATTGTGCCTATTAATCTCTAATTGTGATAGCGGACTGACAGACGGACTACCCGGTGACTATATGCTCCCCGAATTTTTTTATTTTTATTTTTTATTCAAGGCCAATAACTCAGCCAAATATTATTCAAGCGAAAAACTTGTGTCTTATAAACAAGTACTTGACCTACCAATCAATCCTGTAAAGTTTCATTAAAATTGCATCAGTGGTATAAGAGGAATAGTCCTTTCAAACATCATTAACACCCTTTTCATTCAAGGGCCAAAAAACACATGAAATATGCACCAGTACTTGACCTACTTATCAGCTCTGTAAAGTTTCATTGAAATTGCATGAGTGGTAAAAGAGGAGAAGTCTGGATAAACTTTAAAAATAAAAATAATCAAAGGGCCATAACTCCAACAAAAACCACTGAGACATAAAAAGCTGATGATATGCACACACTAGACTTGGTACTGATCATTCCTGTCAAGTTTAGATGAAATTGCACCAGTAGTTTTGAGAAGTAGTGCGGACAAGCTTTTGTGTATTTGCCAACACACAAAAAAAAACCCACCTTTTTTCAGCTAAATCATTATACTGGAAGACCTTTGCAATATGCGCAAGAACTTTAGCTACAGATCAATCCTATAAAGTTTCATTGAAATTGCATCAGTGGTATAAGAGGAGTAGTTCAAACAAACTTAAAAAAATAAAAATTGTTAAAGGGCTATAACTCTGACTAAAATCATTGAACCAGAAAATGCTGATAATATATAATAATGCACAACTAAACTTGGTACTGATCATTCCTGCAAAGTTTGGCTTAAATTGCACCAGTAGTTTCTGAGGAGTAGTCAGGACAAGTTTTGTGACAGACAAACAGACAGACAGACATGAGACCGTACTGAGAAAAAGGGCCATTTCTATTGTTATTTTCTTTTGTTTAATAGCGGGACAATGGCCCCTTCCTCTATTGTTACGGAATGAACTCTTTTGTTCTGTTTACAGTTACATAGCCCCATATCCCCAGTGTTGCATCTAGAATTTCAAAATTATGGGGGATTGTCCCCCACTCAACTGAAAAGTGGGGGATTTGAAAAAAAATGTGGGGGACAAGCATTTACCAACAATATGATCATTTTAAAATTGTATTTGGTTGTAAAACAAACAGAAAACAAACTGAACATCAATTTCCAATGCAAACTTAAGCATTAAATGTCACTGATCTTTCAAAGTTTACAATTTCAAACATAGTAAAGTACTTAACAGACTGGTAAATCTCAAACTTTCAAACAGTTACTGGTAGTTCAACATTTCTTATTAACTTTAAAACAGGTACAGTTAACATGACTATATTAAATGTTTATCTTTGAGTTTCAGAGTTTATTTGTTCTCATTCATTCCTGCCACTGAAAAGTTCTGAAAGATTCTTCTATTCTTCTTAGTTTTGAACTCAACTAGTGCTTTAGACATGTTAGAAGCATTGAAGTCTTTCAAGAGTGGGCCTTCTATGGAAATTGTCATTAGAGTCATTAGCTGTGCTTCTCCTAGATGATTTCTGCTAGAGTCCTTGATGTTGTTTTGTGTAGGAAAGCCACGCTCACAGATTGCAGTTTGCACAGGAATGGTTAATGCTATTCTTGCCAGCAACAACATGTTTGGTAAGATTTCACTATGACACTCACTAATAATTTTCCACATAACTTGCAGTTGATCATGTGGATACCTCTTCTCAAGGACTAATTGCTTCAACAGTTCATACTCCTGTCTGGTGAGGTCAGTATTGACTAGTGGCTCATGACCATTTCCATGGGACTGCCCATAGTGGTCTAACAATACTTCTAGCTCGTCTGAGTGCCATAATCCTCGAGTTCAGACTTGGGTATGAATGACAAATCCCTTAGACCAAAGCAGTCAAAGGCATTCAGGACTGAACCACTGAAGGAAATCTTGTATTTATATTTTCTATTAAATTGTCAATAAAAGTTTTCATTGTAGAAACAACCTTGTTTTTTCTTGTTTATCTGCATTTTGTAATTTGTGGCCAAATAATTCACCATTCTGAAATAATTCTTTGAATTCTTTAAAATAATGACTTTCATTTTCCTTGAGGTAATTAAAAGATGACAAAGCAGTGGGTACAGCTGGTTTGATAGCACCAATGTCAAGATTTTCCTTTTGAAAAACCAAGTTCAGTGAGGTTAAAATTGGGATAACATCCATCAACCACCACGTAAGAGCAGGAAATTGATACTGAAGTATAGACTTCCTGAGACCAGTTGCCTTGGGATCACGGGACAATTCAGTGCCATCAAAGTATGAAACAAGGGAGCTCCAAGACTTGTAAATTCCCTGTAACACATTGTAAAATGAGAACCAACAAATACTAGTAGCATGCATTTCCCTTACTTTAATTTGGGGTTGCTCGAGGATTTGCTGAAGTTTTACCAGATGACCACTCCTAACAGTTGATGACTTAAAATAGTAAGAACAGGGATGGGTACCATTATTTTTAAAAGAAATTAATTAATTACAATTACAATGGAAACTTCCCAATTACATTACAATTACATGAATTTTCAATTGTAATTAATTAATTACAATTAAATTTGAAAAAATAATTAATTATAATTAATTATTTTCTAGTTCAACTGCTTTAATATGAAAATAACATTAGTTACAAAGCACACCAGATACAGAAAAATTCATTTTCACTTTGAAAACATTAAATCAAACTCATCAGTCTGAGAGCCAGATATTGAATTGCAAGCTTGGACATTGTTGGCAGTCTAACTTTATTTAATGACCAATGTGTAAGAGGGTTAGACTCGTATTTTTCAGTCTTCTGCTAGATATTGTTTCAGCTCTGCGTTTATTCCAGAAGCATGTCTCTGATTGATACTTTTTACTTCAGACAAGTTTTAATCTTAACAATATTCACCAACAAACACTTGCCAGTATATACCTTAGGCTATATCAATCATGACAATACCCCTGACATGCTACCTGTATTGAAATCATTGACAGGTGATTATCAATTATCACTTCTTGGAAGATTATTTATATCAGACAATACAGGTGAAAAAGTAAGCATTTTACCTAAATCAGATCAATGGTTAATGTGAACAGAATTTAGATTAATTGAATTTAATTGACAATTAAATGAAGAGTTTTGGCTCAATTAACAAATATTTTTAATTATATGATTTTTCATACTTAATTGTAATTAATTAAATTATAATTGTAATTGTACCCATCCCTGAGTAATAAAGATTAGTAAAAGTAGTCTTGTACTGTTGCATGTAGTCTATTTTCTTGGCAGCTTGACTTGTACATAAGGCAAGTCTGTGTGCAATGCAGTGTATGTTTATAAGGTAAGAGGATTCATTTTTTAGACGGGCAACACCACTCTTTTTCCCAGTCATTACACTAGCTCCATCTGATCCTAAGCAAAGTTTCTTGTCTAGGGAAACACCTCTTTCTCTCAATGCTTTAATGTTGTACCAGCATCTTTTTTGGAGACATTAAAATTTCCCAAAAATTGAGATTTTACATTAAACTCTTCATCAACAAACCTGACATACACTATGAGTTTACCTGTTACTGAAATGTCAGTGCTTTCATCAGTCATGACAGCAATGAATTTGGCTTTTTTCATATCATTTAGAATGTCAGTCTGAATAGTGTCTGCAATTGCTTGTTGCATCCCTTCAGTCCTTGATAAGTTGCATTTTTTGCAGAACTTAAGTTCTTAACTGATTCACACCCTTCTATTTCTAAAAATTCAAGTAGTGATGAATACTTAAAAGTTGCTATGTTCTCTTTAGCCAACCAATAAACAACATTTATAGCACTAATATCGAACTCTTCCTTCTTTGAAATTACCGTGGCCACAGTTTTTTCAAGAGATTTACATGACGACTTAGCAATTAATGCTGCCCTGTGATCAGCTGATTCCGCGTGACGGGACAATGTAGAAGTTCTAAAATTTGTACAGCCAGTAGTGAAAGTATTCTTTAGACCGTGGGCGATGCAATATTTGCAAAACATGGTCCCCTTTTCATTTAATTTCAGCCACGGCCAGTCATTTAGCCACGTTTTTTGAAAGTTACTTGCTTTCTTTTTTGGGGGCTCCGTAGTGGTAATAGAATCGACCGGGTGCGAATTTTTACAACATTTTCCTCACAAGAATCTTCACTTTTACTTTGTTTAGAAGTGGATGGTTCATTTTCAGAAGTCGACTGACTTACCAAAAAAAACCCATTAATTTTATGTTTAGGAATTTTTGCTATCGTCTGCTCAAGAACAGAAATATAAACAAAAAATAAGATAGTGACGAATACTATTTAAGTGCACAGATCAACCGTCAATACATATGCCAGATGACCTGGTCAGCTGCTACAAGCTATTTAGTTCGTGTTTTAGTCAAAATACGATGAAGATAAACTGAATTAAGCTGAAAAGATCGTTTTATGCGCGACTTGGCGCCCATTGACTTCATTAAAATGCGCAATCTGCAAAAAATATGCGCAAATCACGCAATTGTGCAGCCTAGATGCAACGCTGTATCCCTATACAGTAGTGCGGATGGACAGACGGATGGATGGTTATAACTTACCCAGTCATTGGTTTTCTGGGCATGGTGACATCTGGAGTCGGCTTTCGTTTCTTGCCTTTTGGCCAGCCTCCCATTCCTTTTCTTTTCTGTAGTATAAAATGAATTTAATTTAAAACTGAAAACCAGACCCCTTGAAAACTGGAATCTTCAAGTCCCCCCCCCCCCTTACAAATTCAACAAGAGGGCCATGAAGGCCCTGTCAAATTGCTCACCTGAATATAGAAACTCTCCATTACAAGGAACAACTAATATAATTGTATACTATAAATAAAAGCAGACATAAAATTTAAATCTTAAACTGATATCACAGAGTTCATATTTGTATTTGAAATAGTGCATGTGTAAAAACATTACTGGTTGGGAAAGTTCCAAAAGATTCATAACAGGAAAATCAATGACCCCCTTGGGCGTGGCCAATTTTGACCCCAGGGCTTTAATTGAACAAACTTGGTAGAAACTCACTAGAAGATGTTTCATGCTGAATATCTAAGCTCTAGCCAATTGTGTTTTTTTTAAGATTTTTTTTTTTATATATATATAGACATAAGGAAAATCAACTACCCCCTGGGGCGGGGCCAATTTTGACCCAGGGCTTTTATTTGAAGGCACTTTGTAAACACTCACTAGAAAATGTTTCATGCTTAACCCATTACGCGATATACACGCCTTTTAACGCCCCCCCCCCCCTTTTTTTGTTGTCTAAAATTGTGAAAAAATGCCTTATTTAGGCCCCAAACACTTGTTTTTGTTTGAGAAATATTGTTATTGAAAAAAATCAAAAAGTCTACAAAACAACAATTTTTCTTCAAATTTATATGCTAGGTTATGTTTAAACATGGAAAAACACGATTTTTGGGTAATTTCAGGTATTGTCATCATTTTTTGTTAACCCATTACGCTATATATTACACGCCTTTTTACCCCTTTTTCACCCCCCTCCCCCCTTCTAAAATTGTGAAAAAATGCTTTATTAAGGGCCCCCCCCCCCAAATTGTTTTTGTTTGAGAAATATTGTGTAAAAAAGTGACCACTTTTCGGCGCGGCCGTCCAACCAAAAGATACATCAGGAGGTTGCCAGAAGGGGGATGTGCCCCCATCTGTTTGGGGGGTTTGAAGGGGGCGGTAGTCCCCCTCATCGCCAAGAAAATTTTGGACATGTGAGAGGCTAAAAATGACCCCAGATCGATTATAAGGTAACATGTAACCAACGCTGAAAAGCCTTTGACAAGTTGAGCACTTTGAAATCAATTGTGATGGAAAAGATCAACGCAAAATAGTGATTTTTGGCAATTTTGAGATGGCCCCTCATTGCCATGGTAACAGGAAATTTAAGCCTGAGCATGTTGTTACAGAGGCAATGGTCCAGTCAACATTTGTGCCAAGTTTGATTAGTATTTAAGCAGTTTTTATAGATTTATAGCAATTTGAAGTTGCAACGGGAGACTTTTAAATGAAAACAGCCATTTTTCACAAAATGCTCATGAAGTAATGGGTTAATATCTAAGCTCTAGCTATTTGAGTTTTTTAAAAGAAGATTTTTTAAGTTTTTACTATATATATGAAAGGAAAATTAATGACCCCCAGGGTGGGGCTAATTTTGACCCTAGAGCTTTTATTTGAACAAACTTGGTAGACACCCGTAATAACATGTTTCACCTTAAAGGGGCAACATTCGCTGCCGCGGCAGCGAGTATTTGTGGGTGTGACTAATCAGTGATGTAAAACTGTCTGTTATAAACCATGAGCTAAAAATAGAATGCAGTGTTAACCTGCAGAGAGAATGTCAACAAAACAGCTGATTTTACACAGGAGAGGTTTTATGGGATGTTTTATATAACTCACAGATTAATCAAATTAATTAAAAGACATTATCAAGCCATCTTGTCCAGATATTATTTTTGAAGTCAGTTGTTTTTCATCAAGCCAGATCCAAAGGATGTGCCTTACATGGGACATTTCTTTTAAGGAAAACTGCTAAAAATGATCTTGACAGGAATTTAAAATATTTTTAAACTATTAATATATAAAAATTTTATACAAATGATAAACATTTGTGAAATGTAATTTTGACTACAAGATATTTACAACAAAATATAGTGTAAATGAAATATACCTGGAAGTTACTTTTACTGTTTTCATGAAGTTTAAACCATTTAAATACAAGTTGAATCAGTACTTTGAAATTAAAAAAAAATCATAGATTAATGGATTATTGTAAATTTGTTGGATATAAATACTTTTTGATAAAGTAAGATCAGTAAAAGTAATTGTTTTTTCTTATCATGTATTCAGCATTCGAATGTGTCGTCTGCTGAAAATCTCCCTCCCTGAAATATATATCGTCTGCTACAAATCTCTCTCACTGAAATAAACACTGCCATGTGCATCTGTTTACTACTGAAGGTTCATGACCTGTAATGATCAGTTGGCTCCTCCCATGGAAATTCAAATTTCAAATTTGACAGCCAGTATTTTTTTCCAGAAACACACTTAACAAAGTTTTCTTTTGAATAATTTTGGTCAATCTATATCAAGAATATCTATGCCTACATACATGCCAAGTGTTGTTTAAATGCATTTGGTAATTAATCTTAAATCTTTGAAAAAGGGTCCCTGAAGTGAAGCATACATAAAATTAATAAGAAACCTGCCCTAGCGCCATCTGCTGGCTTTTATAGTCCAGTTGGGCCTTTAATATCTAAGGTCTAGCTCCTTGGGTTTTTAAAGTATACATATACGGAAAATCGATGACCCCCCGCCCCCCACCCAGGGGCCAATTTTGACCCCAGGGCTTTAAATTGAAGAAACTTGGTAGCCACTCACCAGAAGATGTTTCATGCTTAATATCTAAGCTCTAACTATTTGGGGTTTTTAAAAGAAGTTTTTTTTTAAAGTTTTTATTATATACATATAAGGAAAATCAATGACCCATGGGGGCGGGGCCAATTTTGACCCCGGGGCTTTTATTTGAACAAACTCGGTAGAAACTTACAAATAAATATTTTATGCCAAATATCCAAGCTCTGGCTCTTTGGGTTTTTAAAAAGAAGATTTTTTTAAAGTTTTTAGTATAAACATAAAGGGGAAAATCAATGTTACACCCCCGGGGCGGGACCAATTTTGATCCAAGGGCTTATATTTGAACAAATTTAGTAGACACTCACTAGAAGATTTCCATGCTTAATATCTAAGCTCTAGCTATTTGGATTTTTAAAAGAAAATTTTTTAAGTTTTTACTATATACATATAAGGAAAATGAATGACCCCCCACCCACCGGGCGGGGCTAATTTTGACTTCAGGGCTTTTATTAAAACAAACTTAAAAGACACTCACTAGAGATGTTTCATGCTTAATATCTAAGCTCTGGCTATTCGGATTTTTTAAAAGAAGATATTTAAGTTTTTACTATATACATATATGGAAAATCAATAACCCCTTGTGACAGGCCCAATTTTGACCCCAGGGCTTTTATTTGAACTAGAAATGTGTCCATAGGACACCGGTGCCCCCACACGTCACTGTTCTAGGTCAAATATTGTTTGAACTACATGTGCCACAAGTTGAAAACTAAAAATCTTTTACTAAGTAAAGGGCAAGAACTTTACAAATACTGAATAAATCCACAAGCAAACCTCATTTTTAGCCTCTCACAAGTCCAAAATTTTTCTTGGCGATGAGGGGGACTACTGTCCCCCTTCAAACCCCCCAAACATCCCCCTTCTGGCAACCCCCTGATGTATCTTTTGGATGGGGGGCGGCGCCGAAAAAAGTGCTCAATTTTTTTAGCAACATTTCTCAAACGAAAACATGTATTTGGGGCCCAAATAGGACATTTTTTTCACTTTTCAAGGCCTAAAAGATGGGGGAGGGGGGGGGGGTGGTGGAAAGTGCGCTGTTTCGCGTATATATGAGGTAAAGGATTAAAGATTCATTTTTAAAATCTATTTATAGCCCTTCTGACCCAGAAGAAATTTAAACAAGTTCAATGGAGCAAGCAGAACCATGTAGAACTTCGAGCTAGGAACATCAAAAGGAAAATTTTATTAAATTTGACCCAGTGGTTTCAGAGGAAAAGTTGTTTGAAAAAATTTGACGACAGATGCACTGGATGGATGATGGACAAATTGTGATCACTTGAACACTTTGTGATGAGGTGATCTAAAACTAAAATGACAGTCTCATTTTTTTTCAAATCAAAGAAACTTTAGTTAAATCTTTACATCATAACTAATATCTCAACAAACATTTTTATTGTCTGTGTCAGTCTGAAATGATCCGAGCAATTTATAGCAAGAACTACCTATTAACCATTACTATTGTGGTAAAGTTAGGAATCTATTCATTCGATTATGCTGCATTATGTAAATATTATGTCATATTTTGTAATTTAAAGTTACATCATTGTTCATTTATTTTTAATCAATACCAGTAGATATCTAATTATAATCAAGGGAGATAATCATGATTAAGTCAAACAGGTTCCCTTGACAACTAGGGAAGGGAGATCACTCTTGTTTAGCAAAGTAAGGGCTGATTATTTTCATCATTTTAACAAGTATACAAGTATTCTAATGATGATTTTTCTTTGTGTTTTTATTATCCACAGTATAAATATTATGTATCTTTAATAATTCTGTATTTTATGTAAATAATATTGAGTTTTGAACACATTCTAAGGGAACTACTTTTTGGGGACTACTTTCTCAAAAGTTCCAGGGCTATTCTATTTATAGAATTAGGGATGAATCATGTATCACTTTTGTTTTGCACATTTTACTTACTTTAATCATTAATTATTAGAACTTTAGTATTAGAAATAAGATAAGTTAATTCTTTAGTATATTTTGATTATATATTTGTCATTTTAAGAGTGATAATTATAGAATTCTATTTATAGATTTGACTAATTAAACCTGAATAACCTCTTTTAGACCACTTAGACCAACCCAAAGTTTGTTCCATTATTTGTAGGGAATTTATGCAAACAATCAGTCAATGTTTTATTGTTTATTGATTTCATTATGTTTATTATCACTTTGTTTTGTATTTGTTTGTTGTAAATACATATTGTTATATTAAAAAATA